ATCGTAATCTCCTTGCGTTGAGTTTGGTTCAAAGAAATGACCCCAGCCAGTGGTCCAAGTTGATCGTTATTTATTATCCCTTGCATCACATTTTCATACTGGGGCATAAACAAAATACAAAAATACAATACAAATATGTGTAAATACCTGTGATTAAATAGGAAACAGCCCGTTAGTTGTGCAGGGTTTAATGAGGTTGATGGCTGTCGAAGCTAAAATCTGTAGCATGAAAACAACTGTTAGCAGTGAGCTTATGTGACCATTACGTCGGTGCATGCTTAGCTAACACACTTCTATACAGCAATCATATACCAAAGCACATCCCAGAAAGCCCCTCAATCCCTAACAGGTACCATATACCCACTCATATATAAATCAGGAATGTACAGCAAACCTGTACACATTGTAAAATATAAAAATAGAATACAGTATTCAGAACGTGATCTACCCCTTGCATCACATTTTCATACTGGGGAGACCTGACGTCCGCGATCTCCCCCTATCTGCAAGTGGGGCCAATAGCAACATACCTTATTGTCATCGGAATTGAACCAACCAAGAGTGCTTGAACATTAAATACACATTTCTTTAGATGAAAGTGGAAACATAACCAACCCTGTTACATTGACACCAATCTTCTTCAACATACCCTCTCCCTTGTTATTGCTAGCTTAAACAGATTCAAACCCATCCTCTGCCTCCCTCAGTCTTTCCAACCTCCTTTCTCTTTCCCTCAAATCCTCCTCCCTTGACCAATTATCTGACTGCTTCTGAAAATATTCAACTTTTCCAAGCCAAAATCTACTTTTAGCCTCAGAGAAAGACATGCTAAGCCCTGCACTACCTCCACTTCAAACTCGGTCAGCCAATCTACCTCGGTGCCTGGTCGAGACCAGTCTGACATGCACTTCTTATACGGTGGAGTTTAATGGCGGTTGGCATCCAATATGTTACATTACCACCCCCAACTAAACTATAGTATAAATCCGTTACACTTATACAAAATGGGAAAAATAAACAAACCCTACACTCATTAAAAACACAATACCCCATTCCACTACTTTGACCCTATCTGTTCCTGCACCATGCCATCGGCCTGGGAGAACGGGACACTACCACTCAACACACCCTGTAACTATTCTGAAGTCAAATCTTATATAGCCAAATACTTCTCTACAGCTGCCACCACAACATCTATTTTCTGTGATTTACATTCCATTTCTACAGTTCAGTTGATAACCATTGCTAAGAAGCCAACCTTACTGAAGCATATATCATTCATTGGCCTATCCTTCTATGCTGGCAGAGATCTACTACTCACAGGATCCCTCACCCTTGACCCATCCTCCTCTACTTTTTTCACTGCCTCAGCATATGACACCTGCACTACTCTGACCACTTCAACCTGCCTCTCTCACACCGGACACTTCCGATCCCCAGCAACATGTGCACCCCTACAGTTGACACAACTTTAGCCACAGAAACTACACAATCCTCTATCCCATGCCCTCCTGCACACTTCCCAAATCTTGGAATCTCCTTCCTACACACTGCTGCGACATGACCATAAACGTTGCACCTGAAACAGCGCAGCGGATTCGACACAAAATCTCTAACAGGATAACTGATCAATCCTAACATGACCTTGTCAGATAAAGACTGACTCAAATCTCAAAAAGGACTGACAGTGACTGTTTCACCACGCTCACCACCGGATCTGCGTCACACCAAACTGCAGGCATCGCAAACACCAGGAATCTTCAACTTCAATTGCTCCAGCTCCACACTTAACGCTACCCCAGAAATCACTCCTTTCAATGGTGCCTGCTTCCTAAGAGCAAAGCAAGAAACAGATCTTGACCCAAGTTGTGTGACACGGAGTGCCTGCTTCCCTCTGGTCAGAAGAAACACAAACAAATATCACAAGTCCACTACAGATTACCTTCACTGATTCAACTGCACCCAACTCCTTTCTCGCCCACCGAGACCATAAATGGATACACTTTCTCCAAAAATGTCACTCCTACTGGACCAGATTGTTATTTATCATGTCCATTGATGCCAGGCTCCAGTTCCGAGCTCTTCACCACACCTTCCTCCTCACTTAATGCACTTAATCGCCATCTTTCTCAAATTCAACCTCTGATTTTCTCATTCTCTTCCTCCTCTTTGACCCCCTCCATTCCTCCTCAGAAATCCACCTTTCTGTGTCCCTGCCCCAATATTCCTCTTCTCCGGACTTTGATGTAACTCCATCTCTTAATCATCCTGCCCACCTCCGAAACATGTCTTCTCGGGCGCCGACATTTTGAGAGCATCTTCCCAATATGGCTACAGTCCTCTCCATTCGCTTTCCTTCTCATGTGACTGCAACACATGCACTGGGTTTCGGGCTGAATTGGCCACAGGTGGACGCCAATCAAGTTGTAGTGACATCTTAAGGATTATCAAAATAAATTGGTTGCACCTGTGCTCAATTTGAAGTGTCATAGCAAAGGGGTGTGAATACTTTTGTATATGACTAAAATGTAAATGACATATTTCTGTATTTAATTTTCAATACATTTGCAAAAGTTTCTAAAAACATGTTTTCACTTTGTCATCATGGGATATTGTATGTAGATGGGTGATTTAAAAAAAATATATTTAATCCATTTTGAATTCAGGCCGTAACACAAAATGTGGAATAAGTCAAGAGTTTTCTCTACAAAACTCTTGAGCGTGCCGTCTCTAGCCAACTCTCTTGCTATCTCTCTCAGAATGACCTTCTTGATCCAAACCAGTCAGGTTTCAAGACTGGTCATTCAACTGAGACTGCTCTTCTCGGTGTCATGGAGGCTCTCCGTACTGCTAAATCTAACTCTCTCTCCTCTGCTCTTATCCTTCTAAACCTATCCGCTGCCTTTGATACTGTGAACCATCAGAGCCTCCTCTCCACCCTCTCCGAGTTGGGCATCTCCGGCGCTGCTCACTCTTGGATTGCGTCCTACCTGACAGGTCGCTCCTACCAGGTGACATGGCGAGAATCTGTCTCCGCACCACATGTTCTCACCACTGGTGTCCCCCAGGGCTCAGTTCTAGGCCCTCTCCTATTCTCTCTATACACCAAGTCACTTGGCTCTGTCATATCCTCACATGGTCTCTCCTATCATTGCTACGCAGACGACACACAATTCATTTTCTCCTTTCCCCCTTCTGATAACCAGGTGGCGAATCGCATCTCTGGCAGACATATCAGTGTGGATGTCAGATCACCACCTAAAGCTGAACCTCGGCAAGACGGAGCTGCTCTTCCTCCCGGGGAAGGACTGCCCGCTCTATGATCTCGCCATCACGGTTGACAACTCCCTTGTGTCCTCCTCCCAGAGTGCAAAGAACCTTGGCGTGACCCTGGACAATACACTGTCGTTCTCCGCTAACATCAAAGCGGTGACCCGATCCTGCAGGTTCATGCTCTACAACATTCGCAGAGTACGACCCTACCTTACACAGAAAGCGGCACAGGTCCTAATCCAGGCACTTGTCATCTCCCGTCTGGATTACTGCAACTCGCTGTTGGCTGGGCTCCCTGCCTGTGCCATTAAACCCCTTCAACCTATCCAGAACGCTGCAGCCCGTCTGGTGTTCAACCTTCCCAAGTTCTCTCATGTCATCCCGCTCCTCCGCACACTCCACTGGCTTCCAGTTGAGGCTCGCATCTACTACAAGACCATGGTGCTTGCCTACGGAGCTGTGAGGGGAAAGGCACCTCCTTACCTTCAGGCTCTGATCAGACCCTACCCCCAAACGAGGGCACGTAGTTCATCCACCTCTGGCCTGCTAGCTCCCCTACCTCTACGGAAGCACAGTTCCCGCTCAGCCCAGTCAAAGCTATTCGCTGCTCTGGCACCCCAATGGTGGAACAAGCTCCCCCACGACAGCGGAGTCACTTACCACCTTCTGGAGACACTTGAAACCCTACCTCTTTAAGGAATACCTGGAATAGTATAAAGTAATCCTTCTTCCCCCACCCCCCATTATTTTTTTTTAAAGGTGGTTGTCCCACTGGCTATCAAGTTGAATGCACCAATTTGTAAGTTGCTCTGGATAAGAGTGTATGCTAAATGATGTAAATGTAAATATATGAATACTTTCTGAAGGCACTGTATGCTCTCTACTAGCCTGGACAAGGTACACAATTATTTAATTAAATGTAGCCTACAAATTGGGCCAATTGACTGAGGCTGTGATGATCAAAATGTAAAGCCTGATTCACACTATGCTACTATGGCGAATGCTTAACCAGGCCAGATCAGTACCCTACAGCTCAGTTTGGGCCTATATTGTGAGTAAATGGTGACCGACTGTCTGATCTACAAATAATAATTAGTAGCTATGATGCAAGGGGATTTGTAGTTGGCAGTCACCTGCACTGTCAGCTGCAGTGTCGAACAAGCCCATAAACCCCTCCACTGATTGGTCGTTTGACCAATCACATCACATCTTTTTCAGAGCTGATCTGATTAGTCAAAAGACCAATTAGTGGGGGTGGAAAAAGATCAGAATTGTGCTGCTTCTGTAAACGCAGCATTAGTGTTCATCCCTTAAACCACAGCTTCAAGAGCAGTTATGAAAAGAGTAGTGTGAATTGAGAAGGAATTAGCATTTTCATCTGGTATAGTTTCAACATGTGTCATTATGTAATGAAGCAATGCAATTATACTGTAGGACCAAGAAAAGCCCTCCTACACAGCTTCCCTTTCCAATGAGGTGAAGAGAGAATGAGTGTGTGCGTGCAAATGCAAATCCCATAATGGGTGACATGTTAGCTCTACTATAGCACCTGAAATCCCTGGATTGTATATACGCTGCCTCCTAATTGGCCTCGCCAGGGAGTGACACTGCATGATGGGGGATTGTGATTGGATGAATTCAGTTCAGTGGAGACCTTTTCAAATTGGAACAAAAGAACACATCTTCCAAATAAAGTTTAGTATTACATACCATTTCCAAACAGACATTGTTTTTAATGCTACTACACTGTAAAGCTTAGCAGAACCATACCTCATATGCACCCAATAATACCACTGTGTGATAACACTTTCACACTGTCATGCCAACCTGTGTGTGCGCGCAAAAGAGAGAGCGAGAAACATAAAAATGAGCCTACAACCCAAAAAGTGTTTGAGAAATATTTTCTTATTCAGGTGTATAGCCAGTGAGAACAGACAGTTTGATGGAATACGTGGTTACAGTAGGAGAGTGAAGTAGTAGGAAGACAACACAGACACCAGATCACCTCGGTAACCATGGCATCCCTCTGTAGTCGAACTAAGCTAGACACATCAGAAGCTACCATAACAGACGGCAATAACTGTCCTCTAAAATACACTTTTACTTAAGTCTATAACAAGCATGTTATCACTTATTTAAAAGAAACCATCAAGACATACTGATATAATTACTCTCTTGTGTAAAGGTATGAATTCATAGCTGAAATCAAAAACATCTTAAAAACACTGCGTAGTGGGGGGGTGGGGGGGGGGTTGTTGTTGAGGGGTGTTTCCTTTCCCCATTTACAACATCTTCCTCTTCTCAAACTCCTGCGGAGAGATGGACAGAACAAACAGAGGAGGGTGAAAAAGGGGGAAGGAGAGGAGAGGGTGATTTATTCATGTGGATTCACACAGTTTGTTTACTGTTACAGGGGGTGTTAGTAGACCCTGACAAGGCACTTTCCTTTCTCCCTGGGGGGGGGGGGGGGGATGTCATCGTCCCAAATGGCACCCCCATTCATTTACATTTACATTTTAGTCATTTAGCAGACGCTCTTATCCAGAGCGACTTACAGTTAGTGAATACATATATATATATTTTTTTCATACTGGTCCCCCGTGGGAATCGAACCCACAACCCTGGCGTTGCAAACGCCATGCTCTATCAACTGAGCTACATCCCTGCCGGCCATTCCCTCCCCTACCCTGGACAGCGCTAGGCCAATTGTGCGCATGCCCATTCCCTACATAGTGCACTACTTTTGACCAGAGCCCTATGGCTGCCATTTGGGATGTAGACAATATATTTCTCTCAGAGATTATTGAAGAGTTTATAAAAGACAAATAACATTCAAAATCATTATTTCGGATGCAAAGATAAATACCTTACAAACCGAATAAGGCTATGGAAGGCTCATATACAGTGTGGAATAGTCCAAACACAGAAAACATGTATATTCACACCAACGCATCAAGATCCATAGTCATATTATACGACAGTGAAAAAATAAGAAGCACATAACCAAAAGGATGACGGAGAACATTAAGCATCGGATGTCGCCATTTACATAGACCATTTACTAAATATCAGCAGAGGAAGGATGACAGAACAAATACTCTCCTTCCCTTCGTCCTAGAATTTCCCATTTCAGAGGAAAAAGCTTCCTTTATGCAAATGTCATTTATCAGGTCTGCAGCAACACACATGCATGATGTTGCCCATTGGAAAATGCCTTACTTCCAAAATGCCTGGAAGTCTACTGCCTCCAAGTGGTTGAAAACAGCTACTTCGGCTCAACGCCACAACTTTGACAGTGCTAGAGCAACTCGGCGGGGTGTGTGTTATCTGTAATGTAATACTCAGGAGTGTTAAGGGAAGACGCCCTTCAGTCTCACACGGGGCAGATTAAGTGTAGCTGTACGCGCCAATCAAGGTCGGGCCCTTGACTTTCTGAGAAAGGGACAGATAGAAAGAGAGAGAAGAGGGGGGGAGGAGAAAGAGACTGGGGGATGAGCGGGGCTGTGTTAGGGCTGACATGGTGGCCCCGAGGCTTCAGGCCCTCTCTGATGGATGAAAGGAAGGAGAAGGGTGGAAGGTGGCACAAGGTCCACTCAGAGTCCAAAGGGAGAATGCTAGAAACTGTTCTCTCTGCTACTGCACGGCAAGCAGTACCGATGCACCAAGTCTGGAACCAACAGGACCCTGATCAGCTTCTACCCCCAAGCAATAAGACTGCTAAATAGTTAGTTAAATATATTACCAATAGCTACCCGGACTATCTGTATTAACCTGCTATTGTTTATTACCTATACTGTTGCCTAGTCACTTTATCCCTACCTATATGTACATATCTAACTCAATTACCTCGTACCCCTTCACATCGACTCGGTACTGGTACAGTACCTTGTGTATACAGCCAAGTTATCGTTACTCATTGTGTATTTATTCCTCGTGTTATAATTTTTATATTATTCTATCTATTTGAATGCATTGTTGGGAGGGGCCCGTAAGTAAGCATGTGACATAAAATGTGATTTGAAGAAGGAAAGAGAGGAGAGAGGGGGAGAAATAGTGCTTGCTTGAGATGTGTATTTAGGCAAAGGGGAAACTGTAAACGAAAGGTGTTGCAGAGTAAGAGGAACAGGAGAGAGAGAGAGCGAGAGAAAGAGAAGCGAGAGGGATCGTCCTTGTGTGTGACAAACAGTCAGGAGGGAGAGTGTCAAAGGTGCTCAAGACAGAAAGAAGGGGAGAGGCGGAGCAAGATGAAGGAGAGGAGAGAGGGAGGGATGAAGAGTGCTGTGTGTGACATTTTGTGAAGGGAGGCCATGAGAAAGAGTGAGAAATGGAGAGCGCAGCACACATGAATGGAGGTTTATGTGGGCCTGACAGTCTGCCTGGAATGCTAGGTGGGTGGAGTTTGCACCTTTGGGACTATTCTATCAGTGACAGGAAAGCTTAAATCTAGCGCAGTTACAATATTTGATAGAAAACAAATACTTGAATCTAGGTGTGGACAGAAGGGGAGCTTCACTGACCAAGCAAAAACAAACACTAGAGGGTTAGGCATTGTACTGTACTGAGAGCAGAGCATGTTATACCAAACCAAACTACCCCCAGCGGGCACTACTTTGTTTGTTTGCTCTGGTGTGTATTATTACGCCAATTACAGCAGCCGCCAATGAGATTAACAGAGACGTATGAACACAATGGGCTGGGAAATTAACACGCCGGGAAAGAGTTTTTCATCATTACGCGCAATGATTATGAATTAAACCAAAACAGTGCCACCACCGCACAAATCCATATCTGTGTGTTGGGGTTTGCCACCCTGCGCTCGCTCGTAATGAAAGAATAAGATGATGAATGGGTGTAATACACGCTGTAACTTTTTATACGTCTTGTTAAAACAGGCTTCCTCCGGTGATAAATTGAAATAAAGAGGCAGCAGCAGCGTAGCTAAGTTACCCGCCCTGGCATCAACAGCCATGCTTATTAATTTCCCCCCTTCACCTTGCTGTTGCCTTTTGTTTATTGCATATTAAAAAGTTCAATCCCAAGTCCCACAACCTTGCTTGTTAACGAACCCAAACACTGAAAACAACAACATACACTCAAGTAGAAAAAACAAAAAAATGTACTCAACATACAGTCAACTTGATTTAGTTCATGGTTTTTTTTCTACTTTTGTATGTAGAGATTGTTTTTAGTATATCTGAGGGAAGAGGCAAGGTTGGGATGTGGGACTAAAGCGACTAAAGTAACCCTTTTGCCGTCCTCCCCCAGCTGCTTTGGGAGAATGGTACGGTCTGTCGCGCCACTGGTCTCACCCATAGAGTTGGCTAGAGGGCTCGAGCCATGGCAAAGATAGATGAGCTCTTTAATACATCTCTATAGTCTCACCTTGAACATGGTGCTGCCCAGTTGGGCGGGGGACATGCTGACCACAACGCCCGCCTGCTGTAGGGCGGCAATCTTCTCTTTGGCACCGCCCTTGCCCCCTGCGATGATGGCACCTGCGTGGCCCATCCTACGGCCCGGCGGGGCAGTGAGCCCGGCGATGAAGGACACCACGGGCTTGGCATTCGCTCCCTGGGGCGGGAGGGGGAAAGAGAAAGAGAGCCTCAGTCACACCTGTATTCTCAAACAAATGACAGACTAGACATTCCAAAACAAAGACAACACGTTTTCCTATTATCAGCCCCTCTTAAATAGGTCATCCTTAGACCCCTCTTATTTTATTATTAAAACAAAGATGGTAGCGTAGAGTAAATCTTGAGTATAGTAATTATATTCACATTCATGCCAATATTATATTACATGCTCTGTCCAGATGTGTGTGAAAGAGTCAATGAGACCATTTAATTGCATGGGTATGAGCGTGGATGGGCAGATACACTCCCTCCTCACACACACAGCCCCCTCCCCGCCATTTCATATGATCTCATTCTCGCAGAAGAAGGTAATTAGTCACACGGACACTGATTAGCTCTGGCGCTGTCCGCTCAGCTCGTCCTGATGGATGGCTAAATTCAACAGCAGAAATAATCTTCCAGCGCTGGCGGGAGGGGAGAGAGAGCTAATATTTCACACTCAGGAATAACATTGTATTGGGGATGAAAGACGTAAGGGTGGGGCTTGTTCATTAGGGCACGCGAAGGAAAACATTTTGAAATAGATAGTGAAAATGAGTGTTTAATATTAGACTAGGTACTGTAGTATCTACCCACTTCTGTCCATTTGGTGCTAAATGAACACAACCCAGGCCTCTCTTCAGACGCTCCTTCTAGGGGACATGCCTTGTGATAAGGATCTCCCTCCCTCTCTCTCCATCTTTCTCTTGCTCCCTCTTTCTTTCCCTCTCTCCGATAACACACGTCTGAGGGAGAGGGTAACACAGTGTGTCGAACAAACTGTCCGACAAGCCAGGAAAGGTGGTCCTCCTGCTTATGGTTTTACTTCACTTCTACCATTTCAGCACAGGCTTTACAAATGGAGCCCTCCTGAAACTGGCAGGTATGTACAGCAAGACAACCGCTATTAATTTCAAGACACTGGATACTTGTTTAAGCAGATCAGCCAAGAAAATCAAGAAAAAAAATGTTTGAAAAAAACCTGGCTAACGATGTACAGTATTAACAAGAAATGGCTCTGAAAGCAAATGTTCACTGAACAGGGGAACATGACTGCAATCAAGGGAAAAAAAGGTACAGAAAGGATACTAATTAGTAGAGGTGAATGTTTCCGCTTGTAAGGTGGCCCAACATTTTTTCCTCTAAATGTATTAGAACGAGGGTGGCCATGCCTTTTCCTAAAGACCGACCCACCTGCAAGGCTTTTGTTCCACACCTGATTGTACTACTCAGCTGCTTTTCAGGACCTTGACTAGCTGAAGCAGGGCTGGCGCAAAAGCCTGAACACCCAGTAGCTCTCCAGGAGAAGGGATGGCCACCTCTGTTTCAGAATCTTTATTCAAAGTGTCCCTGTCCATACCATATTATTCATTATGATCAACAAGGAAAAACTGATACTGGATCAGCACTCCTACTTACTCTGAGACGCTTTATGAATACAGGCCCAAAGCCGTTTCTCTAGCTAGGCCCTAAAAACTCCAGTTCCAGCTCTCGCTAGTTCCATCCTAATGAATTCACAGCTTTGACAAACGAACCACCCCTGTGTGAATCAACTCTTAAATCTACCTAAACATGTAAGGCTGTAATTAGTCAATGAATCTTCATCTTCACTCGGAGAGAAAATCGGTGGATAATAAGAGAAGTCGAATTAGCATTTGAATGTTCCCACCGCCTTTGTCCTCCATTGTTAACCGTGGAGATGTATTACTTTAATAATGGAACTAGAGAGAAGAGGAGGAGAAGAGGGTTGTTTCCACAAATCTTCTTCAGTTCCTTCCCCCACTGGAGGAGGGGTGGAGTAGGAGGCAGGGGTTGTTTCAAAAGGGGGAAGCCTTGTTGTATGCTCGAGAGTAGAGCCTCAATCTTGTCAGATTAAGACGACAGACAATTACAAATTGAGGAGGCCCCCTATTCACACACTAGATGTGAATGGAGTGTGCTACACACTCCACAACTATTTCTCAAAATCCTTCCCCTGGCCTCCTAGACGACAATTGGTGTGTGTTAGTGAATTACAGGGGCTTTGCGTCATGCGTAAAGCGAAAGAGAGAGTGAACAAGTGAGCGAGAGCAGGGGCTAAGAGTCAGAGGATAAAATGAAAAAGGATTAAAGGATACGTTTAGTGTTCACGGTGGGTTAGCTGCCAAATACTCTACCTGTCTCATTGGAAAGCCTGGGCTCACCGGTGTTAGGTCTTATGTAGCCCTTTAGTTTTACAATGCATGGAGAGGCTGAAGAATACTAGGTGAGCCTCTGCTGCTTTCTCCCTCCCTCAGATGAGACTAATGCCGTGTTCAAAACAACTGGGAAATCTGAAATCTCAGACTTCCGGACAGCCGTGCGTTCAAGACAACTGGGAAAAATAGTTTTGAACGGTATTCCAACTCGGAAATTCTGGCATCTTTCTAGAGCTCTGACTTTCCGACCTGAAGATCACTGACGTCATGATTTGATCAACTTATAAGACAACCCGTAATAATGTGTTTTCATAAGGCTTAAGTTACAATACCTTATGTCTATGTATCAAAATATCAACTGACTCAAAATCAATTTCTAAGACCAAGAGCACCGCTGTCGGTCCTGTCCTCCGTAATGGAATCAATACGCGGCCGTCGTTAACAGTGCGTACGTCTCAAATGGCACCCTAGTCCCTATATAGTCCTATGGGCCATGGTCAAAAGTGGTGCACTATGTAGTGAATAGGGTGTCATTTGGGACGCGAGCCAGGGGAGGAACGGTCCTGTCGCCCGACATCTACTACATCTCTTCCAGGAAGATAAAGTTCAATACATGTAATGTTGCCTGACCGTTCATTGATCATGTCCTCCGCATATTTCACACCAAACCCTCATTTGTAATCTGTCCAGTGCAATGAAATTCATTAGGGATCTGTCCCAAATGGCACTCTACTCCCTAGCACACTACTTTTGACCAGGGCCAGGGCTTTGGTCAGATGTAGTACACTATATAGGAAATAGGGTACCATTTGGGACGCACACTAGGATGATGTGATGCGTCTGCTGTAACTAATAGATTGAAGGGTTTGAAGGTTTTTCATCTGTGGAGAAAGAGAGATCATTTTGAAATATCTAGCTATGCTGGTAAGGGCATACCAATAGAGCATACCAATGTGATATTGTATTGCACTTTTCGGTCCCAAATGGCACCCTATTTGCTGTAGTGTCATTGTATTATACTTTCATATACGATTCCATTAAGTGTCTGAAAATATGCCAAGCTGATCTTATAATGACAAATTAGAGTAAAATAAATGACAATACAGTTAGTATCTGTTAGGGTTGGGTGGTATCCAGATTTTCATACCGTCATACTACACTGCTCAAAAAAATAAAGGGAACACTAAAATAACACATCCTAGATCTGCATGAATGAAATAATCTTATTAAATACTTTTTTCTTTACATAGTTGAATGTGCTGACAACAAAATCACACAAAAATTATCAATGGAAATCAAATGTATCAACCCATGGAAGTCTGGATTTGGAGTCACCCTCAAAATTAAAGTGGAAAACCACACTACAGGCTGATCCAACTTTGATGTAATGTCCTTAAAACAAGTCAAAATGAGGCTCAGTAGTGTGTGTGGCCTCCACGTGCCTGTATGACCTCCCTACAACGCCTGGGCATGCTCCTGATGAGGTGGCGGATGGTCTCCTGAGGGATCTCCTCCCAGACCTGGACAGTCTGTGGTGCCACGTGGCGTTGGTGGATGGAGCGAGACATGATGTCCCAGATGTGCTCAATTGGATTCAGGTCTGGGGAACGGGCAGCCCGTCCATAGCATCAATGCCTTCCTCTTGCAGGAACTGCTGACACACTCCAGCCACATGAGGTCTAGCATTGTCTTGCATTAGGAGGAACCCAGGGCCAACCGCACCAGCATATGGTCTCACAAGGGGTCTGAGGATCTCATCTCGGTACCTAATGGCAGTCAGGCTACCTCTGGCGAGCACATGGAGGGCTGTGCGGCCCCCCAAAGAAATGCCACCCCACACCATGACTGACCCACCGCCAAACCGGTCATGCTGGAGGATGTTGCAGGCAGCAGAACGTTCTCCACGGCGTCTCCAAACTCTGTCACGTCTGTCACGTGCTCAGTGTGAACCTGCTTTCATCTGTGAAGAGCACAGGGCGCCAGTGGCGAATTTGCCAATCTTGGTGTTCTCTGGCAAATGCCAAACGTCCTTCACGGTGTTGGGCTGTAAGCACAACTCCCACCTGTGGACGTCGGGCCCTCATACCACCCTCATGGAGTCTGTTTCTGACGGTTTGAGCAGACACATGCACATTTGTGGCCTGCTGGAGGTCATTTTGCAGGGCTCTGGCAGTGCTCCTCCTGCTCCTCCTTGCACAAAGGCGGAGGTAGCAGTCCTGCTGCTGGGTTGTTGCCCTCCTACGGCCTCCTCCACGTCTCCTGATGTACTGGCCTGTCTCCTGGTAGCGCCTCCATGCTCTGGACACTACGCTGACAGACACAGCAAACCTTCTTGCCACAGCTCGCATTGATGTGCCATCCTGGATGAGCTGCACTACCTGAGCCACTTGTGTGGGTTGTAGACTCCGTCTCATGCTACCACTAGAATGAAAGCACCGCCAGCATTCAAGTGACCAAAACATCAGCCAGGAAGCATAGGAACTGAGAAGTGGTCTGTGGTCACCACCTGCAAAACCAGTCCTTTATTGGGGGTGTCTTGCTAATTGCCTATAATTTCCACCTGTTGTCTATTCCATTTGCACAACAGCATGTGACATTTATTGTCAATCAGTGTTGCTTCCTAAGTGGACAGTTTGATTTCACAGAAGTGTAATTGACTTGGAGTTACATTGTGTTGTTTAAGTGATCCCTTTATTTTTTTGAGCAGTGTATTTCTAAATAAATATATTTTGTATTTATTTTTGATGAACAAAATAATTGTAGGCAACATGGATCTTGATCCAGGAGGGGATTGATTGTCTCTGTAACCAAGAATCTTGATCTTGCCATCTAGCCACTTAGCTAGCAAGTTACCAAATGCATAGCTTGAGCCCTGAGCTGGACATAATATATTTGGCACATCTTACATACAGTGAGGGAAAAAAGTATTTGATCCCCTGCTGATTTTGTACGTTTGCCCACTGACAAAGAAGTGATCAGTCTATAATTTTAATGGTAGGTTTATTTGAACAGTGAGAGACAGAATAACAAAAAAATCCAGAAAAACGCATGTCAAAAATGTTATACATGTATTTGCATTTTAATGAGGGAAATAAGTATTTGACCCCCTCTCAATCAGAAAGATTTCTGGCTCCCAGGTGTCTTTTATACAGGTAACGAGCTGAGATTAGGAGCACACTCTTAAAGGGAGTGCTCCTAATCTCAGCTTGTTACCTGTATAAAAGATACCTGTCCACAGAAGCAATCAATCAATCAGATTCCAAACTCTCCACCATGGCCAAGACCAAAGAGCTCTCCAAGGATGTCAGGGACAAGATTGTAGACCTACACAAGGCTGGAATGGGCTACAAGACCATCGCCAAGCAGCTTGGTGAGAAGGTGACAACAGTTGGTGCGATTATTCGCAAATGGAAGAAACACAAAATAACTGTCAATCTCCCTCTGCCTGGGGCTCCATGCAAGATCACACCTCGTGGAGTTGCAATGATCCTGAGAACGGTGAGGAATCAGCCCAGAACTACACGGGAGGATCTTGTCAATGATCTCAAGGCAGCTGGGACCATAGTCACCAAGAAAACAATAGGTAACACACTACGCCGTGAAGGACTGAAATCCTGCAGCGCCCGCAAGGTCCCCCTGCTCAAGAAAGCACGTATACTTACCCGTCTGAAGTTTGCCAATGAACATCTGAATGATTCAGAGGAGAACTGGGTGAAAGTGTTGTGGTCAATTGAGACCAAAATTGAGCTCTTTGGCATCAACTCAACTCGCCGTGTTTGGAGGAGGAGGAATGCTGCCTATGACCCCAAGAACACCATCCCCACCGTCAAACATGGAGGTGGAAACATTATGCTTTGGGGGTGTTTTTCTGCTAAGGGGACAGGACATGTACTGTCAAATGTTGGGTGAGATCCTCCTTCCCTCAGCCAGGGCATTGAAAATGGGTCGTGGATGGGTATTCCAGCATGACAATGACCCAAAACACACAGCCAAGGCAACGGCAAAGGAGTGGCTCAAGAAGAAGCACATTAAGGTCCTAGAGTGGCCTAGCCAGTCTCCAGACCTTAATCCCATAGAAAATCTGTGGAGGGAGCTGAAGGTTCGAGTTGCCAAACGTCAGCCTCGAAACCTTAATGACTTGGAGAAGATCTGCAAAGAGGAGTGGGACAAAATCCCTCCTGAGATGTGTGCAAACCTGGTGGCCAACTACAAGAAACGTCTGACCTCGGTGATTGCCAACAAGGGTTTTGCCACCAAGTACTAAGTCATGTTTTGCAGAGGGGTCAAATACTTATTTCCCTCAATAAAATGCAAATCAATTTATAACATTTTTGACATGCGTTTTTCTGGATTTTTTTGTTGTTATTCTGTCTCTCACTGTTCAAATAAACCTACCATTAAAATTATAGACTGATCATTTTTGTCAGTGGGCAAACGTACAAAATCAGCAGGGGATCAAATCCTTTTTTCCCTCACTGTAGTTAACTTATAGTTTTCTGGAAAACCTGGGAATTTTGGGAACGCTACCGACATCTTGCAACCTTAGAAAATAAAAATGTTTGACGCATGGAATTGTTCAAGGAGTCAAACTAAAGAGAGCAACATCATTTTAGGGCTGGCTTTGCATTCAGCATTTTCATTTCTCAGCGTTGACAAAACAGCAGCTCAGGTTAAACAATTTCAGGCTTTGGTTAAACTGCTGCCTCTGGTGTTCAACGCTCAACACACAATCGACTTTCAGAGAACTACCCGCCACTTACACACTCAAATTGGCTTTTCATGCATGTTGGTGTCGCGAGCCATTGGTCTCGGTTTGTCAACACTTTGGATGATTGGGTGAGCCGGTTTGTACATGAGGGAGGGGGGGAGAGAGAGAGGTTGCGTCCCAAATGGCACCCTATTCCCAATGTAGTGCACTACTTTTGACCTGGGCCCATAGGGCTCTGGTCAAAAGTTGAGCACTATTAGAAAATAGGGTGCCATTTTGAACTCATCCAAAGAGTTGTTCTCCCGAGACAGAGGGTGGGGAGAGAGATTTGCATGCATTAGGACAGCCGAAAGCACATCAAATTAATTTTCAGCTGCTGAACACCTGACACAGACAGACAAACCGCATAGTGTGTGTACACATATACCTCACAAAAATCTCTTTGCTCAATCAAAATTCTGTGTCTTGACAAATCTAGAGAGGGCAAAACACCCACTTGGCAATAACTGTCGCTGAAAGGCACTTAACCACTTTTCAAGCCTTGCATAATTCACCATCCATGCTCCAAAGAGCAGTCTCTCCAACGCCTGCCTGGAACGAGTGTGTCAAAGGTGTGTGCCGTATTCTGCACCATGAACCCTAACACTCTCTGGAAGGACATGCACTCTAGCTCACACCCTCAGCCTGTGCAGAACCCAAGATCCATTAGCAGGTGGGAACACACACACACAGTACGTCTTACTATACTTGAGGACCAAAAATTGATTCCCATTCAAAATCCTATTTTCCCAAACTCTAAACCCTAATTCTAAACCTAAAACAACCTTTTTACAAGTGAGGACCAGGAACATTTACTAATTTATCGGAATTTTATAGTTACAGTGGGGTGAACAAGTATTTGATACACTGCCAATTTTGCAGGTTTTCCTACTTACAAAGCATGTAGAGGTCTGTACTTTTTATCATAGGTACACTTCAACTGTGAGAGACGGAATCTAAAACAAAAATCCAGAAAAACACATTGTATGATTTTAAAGTAATTAATATGCATTTTATTGCATGACATAACTATTTGATCACCTACCAACCAGTAAGAATTCCGTCTCTCACCGACCTGTTAGTTTCTTTAAGAAGCCCTCCTGTTCTCCACTCATTACTGCACCTGTTTGAACTCATTACCTGTATAAAAGACACCTGTCCACACACTCAATCAAACAGACTCCAACCTCTCCACAATGGCCAAGACCAGAGAGCTGTGTAAGGACATCAGGGATAAAATTGTAGACCTGCACAAGGCTGGGATGGGCTACAGGACAATAGGCAAGCAGCTTGGTGAGAAGGCAACAACTGTTGGCGCAATTATTAGAAAATGGAAGAAGTTCAAGATGACGGTCAATCACCCTCGGTCTGGGGCTCCATGCAAGATCTCACCTCGTGGGGCATCAATGATCATGAGGAAGGTGAGGGATCAGCCCAGAACTACACGGCAGGACCTGGTCAATGACCTGAAGAGAGCTGGGACCACAGTCTCAAAGAAAACCATTAGTATCACACTACGCTGTCATGGATTAAAAGGTCCCCCTGCTCAAGCCAGCGCATGTCCAGGCCCGTCTGAAGTTTGCCAATGACCATCTGGATGATCCAGAGGAGGAATGGGAGAAGGTCATGTGGTCTGATGAGACAAAAATAGAGCTTTTTGGTCAAACTCCACTCGCCGTGTTTGGAGGAAGAAGAAGGATGAGTACAACCCCAAGAACACCATCCCAACCGTGAAGCATGGAGGTGGAAACATCATTCTTTGGGGATGCTTTTCTGCAAAGGGGACAGGACGACTGCACCGTATTGAGGGGAGGATGGATGGGGCCATGTATCGCGAGATCTTGGCCAACAACCTCCTTCCCTCAGTAAGAGCATTGAAGATGGGTCGTGGCTGGCTCTTCCAGCATGACAACGACCTGAAACACACAGCCAGGGCAACTAAAGAGTGGCTCCTTAAGAAGCATCTCAAGGTCCTGGAGTGGCCTAGCCAGTCTCCAGACCTGAACCCAATAGAAAATCTTTGGAGGGAGCTGAAGGTCCGTATTGCCCAGCGACAGCCCCGAAACCTGAAGGATCTGGAGAAGGTCTGTATGGAGGAGTGGGCCAAAATCCCTGCTGCAGTGTGTGCAAACCTGGTCAAGACCTACAGGAAACATATGATCTCTGTAATTGCAAACAAAGGTTTCTGTACCAAATATTAAGTTCTTCTTTTCTGATGTATCAAATAGTTATGTCATGCAATAAAATGCAAATTAATTACTTAAAAATCATACAATGTGATTTTCTGGATTTTTGTTTTAGATTCCGTCTCTCACAGTTGAAGTGTACCTATGATAAAAATTACAGACCTCTACATGCTTTGTAAGTAGGAAAACCTGCAAAATCGGCAGTGTATCAAATACTTGTTCTCCCCACTGTAGTTTACCATTCTTGTGAGGACTTCTGGTACTCACAAGTATAGTAAAACGTGTCCACACACACGTTTTGGATGTGGGGGCTCTGAGTGTGCACTCCTAAGGGGGTCGTCGGAATCAAAGCGATGAAAGGGAGTACCTGACAGAACTACACACATCTTTCCAAAAGGGTCTGGATGATTCACAAAAGTACTGGTGGACCATTGACAAAGTGTTAACAGTCTGGTAGCATGTTAATGTGTGTGGGTCTCCTCTTACAGAGTTGTGCTGTTTGAGGTAATTGGCAGCGTTCTCCTCTGCGTTGCCTCCGATCTCTCCGATCAGGATGATACCCTCCGTCTTGGGGTCCTGTAGGAACACCTCCAGGCAGTCGATGAAGTCTGTCCCGTTGAAGGGGTCCCCGCCGATGCCTGAACAAAAACCACACAAACCATTAGAAAACACTGTTACGCTGCTTATATCCATAAGATGGATGTCAGATGTGACCGTAGGCATATAGTACAATGTACTTAGAATTTTTCTTTTTAATTGGTTTTATATGTGACTAGGAAAGTGTTATGTATGCATTAAAAATAACTACACTGAGTGTACAAAACATTAGGAGCGCCTTCCTAATATAGAGTTGCACCCCCTTTCGCCCTCAGAACAGCCTCAATTCATCGGGCATGGACGCTACAAGGTGTTGAAAGCATTCCACAGGGATGCTGGCCCATGTTAACTCCAATGCTCCCACAGTTGTGTCAAGTTGGCTGGATGTCCTTTGGGTGGTGGACCATTCCTGATACATACGGGAAACTGTTGAGCGTGAAAAACCCAGCAGCGTTGCAGTTCTTGACACAAACCGGTGTGCATGGCACTTACTACCACACCCCATTCAAAGGCACTTCAATATTTTGTCTTGCCCATTCACCCTCTGAATAATACACATACACAATCCATGTCTCAATTGTCTCAAGGCTTAAAAATCCTTCCTTAACCTGTCTCATCCCCATCTACACTGATTGAAGTGGATTTATCAAGTGACATCAATAAGGGATCATAGCTTTCACCTGGATTCAACCTGGTTCAGTCTATGTCATGGAAAGAGCAGGTATTCCTAATGTTTTGTACACACAGTGTATATTGTCTATACCAGGGATGTGCAACTGGCGTCCCTTTTTGTAGGCCCGCAGAAAAATCTTCTCTCTGCCCCATGGCAAAGTGTAGAATTGCATGAAATTACTCTAAAACTTCAGATTGTTCTCTCTGCTGTCAAGAGGGGAGAAAACAACTTCAGTTAGTGAAATTGTTGTTGTTTGAAATTTTCCTTAGGGCCCTCAAAAGGCTAGGGCCGGCTCTGACTGCATGGGCGGGTACGCAGACCCGCAAGCCTCTGAGGCCCCTCATGATCAGTTCAGATGTTTTTGTGGCCCCCACCCCCATCAAAGTTGCCCATCCCTGGTCTATACATTTGCAGTATCTGTATATCATAACATTTAATCCCACGTACCGATGCAGAGAGACTGCCCCAGGCCAACTTGTGTAGTCTGGTGCACAGCTTCGTATGTGAGAGTTCCAGACCTAGAGACAATGCCTGAAAGATGGGGGAAAAAAATACCTATATTTCACAACCACTGGCAACACAGTTCCCTTTCCTGTATGTAGATAAGGAGAGACTGAGGACAAGTTCCAATTCTCTTAACATGCATCCTTCCTTCTTGAGAGGTAAGGAGGAAGGATGCATTTTTAAGTATTGGAAAGGACCTGTATTTATACTGTATGGGTGAGGCCCAAATTGCACCTTATTCCCTATATAGTGCAATACCTTTGACTGGAGCCCCAGGGACAATAGTGAATAGGGTGCCATTAGGGACGCAGACACTGTATGCCTTTGCAATGAGCAGCAAGTGGTCTAGGATGTCTGTGCAGCGATGCAGCTCCCCAGCAGTCACTCCATCACTACACCAGTGGAGGCTGGTGGAAGGAGCTATAGGAGGACAGGCTCATTGTAATGACTGGAATAGAATAAAAGGAACAGAGTCAAACGTGGTTTCCATATGTTTGACACTGTTCCATTTATTCCATTCCAGACATTACAATGAGCCTGTCCTCCTATAGCTCCTCCCACCAGCCTCCACTGCACCTGGAGAAATATTTGCTATGGCTGTGTCTGCTGACTAGTGCCTACAGGGTTGCAGCACTGACATCTTATCAAACTGTCTGCCGCGAGACAGTGAAGAAAATAAACTGCTTGGTCGCTCGCTGAGCGACTATCATGGATCGCCACATGGGCAGAGGTCCTTTCTCCCTCTCACTTTCTCTCCCTCATCTCTCTTTCTCCCTCTCGGACTCATTCTCACGATTCAACTACACACATGTCGTTTTGGAGACTGAAGCACGTATTGTGGGATCTCTAACCTACTGTTAACTTTCCATCAGACACAGAACAAGCTGTTGGTCTGTCAGCATTATGACACTGCTGCCAAGTAAAAGGGGATTTTATTCAATGATTCACTGAGATGAATGCAAGTGAGCCAGGGGAAAATATCTCACCAATCCTCCCTTTCTTGTGAATGTGGCCCGGCATGATCCCGATCTTGCATTCTCCCGGCTGCAAAATAGGAAAACACAAAGTAATACCAAAAGAGTGTGTGTTCTAGCCTCTTACGTTGATCGCTCTAGAGCAGTTGCGGCCGATGAGGCGGGTAGTGACCTGGCGCATCTGCTTGTGTGTGTGTATACTAAATACCAGTGCGTGTGTGTATATGTATTCTTACATTAATAACTCCGGGGCAGTTGGGGCCGATGAGGCGGGTGGTGTTCTGGCGCAACAGCTTGTGTTTGACCTTGACCATGTCCTGCTGTGGGATTCCCTCTGTGATGCACACCACCAGGGGCATGCCGGCGTCGATGGCCTCGATGATGGCGGCACCCGCAAACGGAGGGGGCACGTAGATGACTGTGGCGTCGGCCCCGGTGCCCTCTCTAGCCTGGAGGTTTGGGACAGAGGGACATGGTGAATTTAGGGCTTTCTATTCATCAATGTATGTATTTACTTAGCCATTTCTTAACCAGGCAAGTTAGTTGAGAAACAGTTCTCGTTTAGGGCTGAATAAGAAATAGTGGAACACATTTAACCTCCTTGACAGAGTTGAAGACAGGCACGCCGAGATGTGTCCTCCCCCCCTTGCCGGGGGATACGCCACCGACTAGCCGGGAGCCATAGTCGATCGCCTGCTGACTGTGAAACGTCCCCTAGAGGGAGAGAGGAGGAAGAGTCAGCTAGCCCAATCCCAATTCACCCAGTCATTTCTCTTGACCTTAGCCCGCTTCAATTTTTGATTGCAGATCTGTAAGATGGAAGCAATGTCGTGGAGATCCTTCAGTTCAAAGGGTTAGGGCCAAGGGGAAGGGGTAGGGAGGTAGCGGTTGACAGTGTGTGATGGATGGAGCGGGGAGTTGTCCCGGTCACTCGCGGCGCCAATCGCCAACCTTGAGATATCATTAAAGACAGGTAGTTGGGAATGAGGAGAACAGGCCTGCCATCCACCATTAATCAACTGGGCAGAATGGTGCCTGGTGCCCGCAGAGGGAGGGGGCATGGGAATCAAGCTGACATGGATGGGCACACAGACACCACCAGCATATTAAGACTAGGTACAACAGCAGGTAAATCAAGGACTATGTGAATGGGGGTCAGAGAGGAGATTTGGTATAGGATTTTTCAGGTATTTTACTGTGTCTAATTGTCACTTAGTCACGCATTTAGGTCAATGGGACACTAAGTGAAAATTCAACTTAAGTGTAAGTTAGGATTAGTATGCAACTGAAATGGGGCTTAGGTTGGCATCACATACAATCAGTTTAAATCCAACCCAGGCACACTAAACGACCATAATCAATGGCATTATGTCTCTGTATTTCTTGAGGTCATCAATAAAAATCACTCACAGTCCCAACTTTACTTTTTCAGGGGGCACACAGTCCAATAATGTGTCGTAATATTATTAATATTCAACCTGCCAAGTTCCAGCAGCCTTCTCGGTGAATAATTACAGAGGCTGTCTAGAAACGCTATAGATAAGTGGCTACAAGGGCCAACTACGAAACGTCCAATTCAATGACCCTAACGTTAAAACTATAATTACCAGCAGTAAAGAAAGATAAAGGAAAGACTGAGCCAGCACTTTTCTTCCTCCCAATGCAGATATCTTTAAATTTCAATATTTCTTCCCTGCACCAGACTCATCTATTTTCTTCCTCTGTTCATTTTTAATGCAACATGCACTGTCTGCTCACTTTGCTCTTTTCGCCGGTGGTGGCGGTCCTAGCTATCATCCACTAATGATAGGACAATGAATTTGAAGTATGGTTTGCTTATCAAGCCATAGAGGAAAGTCAGTGCACAGTTCATCCCTTTCTAATTAGCATGAGTGTTCATTAGAATAACTATATTTAATAACCCTATATTGAAGAGTTGTTGCAGAGGAGGGGGGATGGGTATTAACCTACAAGGTGAAAGAGGAAAGAGATGTTCGCTTGTTGGACAATGATGCCGATACTCTTCTTTCGACTGGGCCACTTTGACAGACAATTACAGAGGCCTTCCATCCTTATCTAAGACAATATCGGGGAACGAGGTTCACATTGCAAATTCAAATCCTTAGCCAGTGGATAGATAGTTGGTTCATTTTAAATCTGTAGGCCTACATACTCCTATGGCAACTTTGGCAATGAATATTTTGGGAAGATGATTGAGCTGTTTTGACTCTGCACAGGCTGATCGTCAACAATGCCTGTTGATAGTAAAACACAATAACCCAATCAGGGTTGTGTTCATTCGGCGCCAAACAGATGAAAGCGGACTGAGACAGGGAGGGACTACCTGGACTTGTCCAATAGGAAACAATAATGTTCGATAATTTCAGTTGCAAAAGTTTTAAAGATTTCCTTTGAGCGCCATAATGAACACAACCCAGTTGAATGAAGACAGCAGCCAGTGTCAGCCAGGTGTTGTGTAGCCTACATACCTGCTTCCCTGTGAAGCCTTGGCAAATGACCTTGGTGTCTTTGTCAATGTAGAGGTGCTTCCTTGAAGCAGTATAACAGTTCCTTACCCCATTTTGCTGCACTGCAAATGGAGACAGAAGGAGAGGAAAGTGAGACCACACAGACAAGTGATAATACCAAAAAACACTTGTCAAAATGCACTTTCACATCATGATGGAAAGGGGAGAAGGATTGCCATCTAGGAGACATAGTCCAGCGTTGTTGCCTGAGCTGTTATGTCACATGATGTGCCTCTGATTGCTATAAATCCAATTAAAACAGACCTGAAGGTAGGCCCAGAGTCTATGTTCCAAAACCTACAGTACACAGTAGCAACTGTCAGTAGTCAAACACACATACACTATGTAGGCCACTATGCTTGGATAATGTATTTTTGCTGCCCATTGTGCTTTTTCTCTCATGATTGATATTGAAAGGAAGATAAGTCTATGAATGGCATTAGTCTGTGCAGTTCTGTATGGCAGTCATGGTGAGATTATTATTTCACAAAAGGCAGGTTATAAATAAGGGAAATGAAACAAATGACCATGAATGTGTAATCTACAGAAATTTGTGAGATTCTGAAATTGCACACATTTGGAAATTCTGCTATTTGGCCATGAAGGCTTGCTTGAACAGAGGGCAACAACATGGTCGCATGTAACGTTAGTTTGCTCGCTAACGGTTAACACTTCATGTTGTCGTTTGTCCTCCATTTGTTTTGTTGTTGTTTTGTTGACTTTGAGCATTGAACTAAACTGCAGCAGAAAATCAATAAAATAACATTGACAGGCACTGATAGGCTACTGACTTGGCCTCCCGAGTGGCGCAGTGGTCTAAGGCACTGTGCCACTAGAGATCCTGGTTCGAATCCAGGCTCTGTCGTAGCCAGCCGTGACTGGGAGACCCATGGGGCGGCGCACAATTCGTCCAGGGTAGGGGAGGGAATGGCCGGCAGGGATGTAGCTCAGTTGGTAGAGCATGGCGTTTGCAACGCCAGGGTTGTGGGTTCGATTCCCACAGGGGGCCAGTATGAAAAATAAATAAAAAAGAATGTATGCACTCACTAACTAAGTCGCTCTGGATAAGAGCGTCTGCTAAATGACTAAAATGTAAATGATTGATAAGGTTATCATCAGGCTTCTGCTCAGGGGCAGCTGGTCCACAGAATTGGCCAAGAACCCTATGAGCTTTTGACCTATGCTTTTTCAATGAGCTTGTCAATGTGTAGCTAGCAGATTGTAACAGGCTAACGTGATGCTACATTAGCTGTTACAGGATAGGTACTGTTTGGTGTAGCACAGAATTTGAAACCAACCTTAAAGATACCATCTTCGTTCTCGATTCGGCCAAACATGTATCGCCAAGGTTGGTCGAAAATTCTGTGCTACGCCAAACATGAACTTACCTATTCTGTAACGGCTAATGGAGCATCACATTAGCCCATTGCTGGTGTAGAGCAATGGAATGCTAAAAACAATGGCGTAAAGAGAAGGGACAGAATGGATGGGTGACTTTAAAGTCATTTCATACCAACCAACCAGTGTTGGGGAGTAGTGAACTACATGTAGTTCAACTAGTAATTTAACTAAATGTTGCAGTATCTTGGCGGCAGTTGAACTAAATTCAAATCTAGGTAGTGTTGTCATTAGTTAATTACTTTTTTGCCATGTGGCAGTGTAGCTAACTACTAGAACTTCAGTACTTTTTTTGCAAAACGAAAAGAAAATGGGTGGGCAATAATTTCCTTTCTTTTTCGGCATCAGATCTACCCAATTCTCACTTTAAAACATTGTTTGTGTTTAACTGGCTAAAACACATTCTGTTAACATATCATCCCAAAGTGATCTGTTCTTGCAATTTGTAGTTTGGATGTACTGTAGTGAACAACTTTTTCAATGTAACTTTAGTTAAGTAAACAATTTCTTAAGTTAAGGTACACTAGGTAGGCTTCTTTCAGTGTGAAGTAATTGGTAGCTTGTTAAACTCTTTTCAGAGTACTAGTAGTTTCCCCCAACACTGCAACCAACATAACAGCCTGTAGCTCCTTCCATATAAAGAGATAAAAATCACAAATTGAAAGCTTTACTTGTTGTTTGCAACCTAAAATACAATGGGGGAGTAACGTTAGGTAGCATTAGCTTACCAAGTGCCAGCTACCAAAACAACTAGCTACATGACAGTTACGTTATAGTATAGATAACTACATGTCCTAATCTCATTTATAGAATTGACATGCTAAATATACAGCCTAAAGGACAAGCACGGTCAAACTTCAGTAGTTCGGACTGTGGCCTATAAATTGATGCGCTATCAGCATGCTAAAACAGTTAGCCAATATAGAGGCACGAGCGCTGCTTGTCATGGCTATCCTGTGAGCAAGAAACCCCAAATTCCGTGCAAAACGTGCTCCGTGAAGCGCTTAATTTATCTGAAACTAAACAATTTAAAGAATGTTTAGGAAAACACATATATGTTGTTATACTTACAGAGCAGCCGGGCAAACAACCTACTATGCGACATCTTCGGTCATTCACCAATGACACGGGAGGCTATGGACCTAAACGTAAAAGGCAAAGGGCTGACTATAAATATGCCCAACTAAAAAACATGTTGCAAACATGTTTGAACTTGTTCAACCAAGATACCAATTAAATATGTTGTTATTATACCAATTATTTAAGTCACTGACAAAAATAGTACAACTAATGAGACGGACATTTCTCCAGGCAAAGATTCAAGGTTGGCTTTAAACAGCAAAGAATTCTGGATAGTGGAGTTCAATCACTTTCATCAACAACTCGGATAAGGCCTGCATGCCTCAAACACTAGAGGGCGTGTTATGCCCATCATAGAAATCCCAAGGGTAAAACCTGCTATGGAAATGTGATTCTTACACTGAACAAAAATATACATGTTTTTACTGAGCTACAGTTCATATAAGGAAATCAGTCAATTGAAATGAATTCATTAGGCACTAATCTATGGATTTCACATAATATAATAATAATAATATAATATATTCCATTAAGCAGGCGCTTTTATCCAAAGCGAATTACAGTCATGAGTGCATACATTTTAAGTATGGGTGGTCCTGGGAATCAAACCCACTATCCTGGTATAGCAAGCACCATGCTCTACCAACTGAGCTACAGAGGACCACATGACTGGGAATACAGAGATGCATCTGTTGGTCACAGATACCTTTAAAAAAAGGTTGGGGCATGGATCAGAAAACCAGTCAGTATCTGGTGTGACCCCCATTTGCCTCATGCAGTGCAAAACATCTCCTTCGCATCCAGTTGCTGTATATTGTCTGGAACTGGAACACGCTGTCGTACACGTCGATCCAGAGCATCCCAAACATGCTCAATGGTGACATGTCTGGTGAGTATACAGGCCATGGAAGAACTGGGAAATGTTTCCGCTTCCAGGAATTGTGTACAGATCCTTGTGACATGGAGCCATGCATTATCATGCTGAAACCTGAGATGATGTAGGCGGCGGATGAATGGCACGACAATGGGCCTTAGAATCTCGTCAAGGTATCTCTGTGCATTCAAATTACCATCAATAAAATGCAATTGTGTTCGTTGTCCATAGCTTATGCCTGGCCATACCATAACCCCACTGCCACCATGGGGCACTCTGTTCATAACGTTGACATCAGCAAGCCGCTTGCCCGGTACAGTTGAAATTGGGATTCATGCGTGAAGAGCACACTTCTCCAGCGTGCCAGTGGCCATCAAAGGTGAGCATTTGCCCACTGAAGTCGGTTACGACGCCAAACTGCAGTCAGGTCATGACCCTGGTGATTTTAATGGTCCTTCCATTCATCAGGAGTGAGGTGAAATAACTTGACAGACATAAGCAAATTCCCTGTACGCATCATCATCCACGTTGACTTCACCTCTCCTGTGTTTTCAGATTAGTGCAGATTGCAGACAAGCCATTCTGTACTATGGAGAGAGAGAAACCCATCTTTTAAACTTGAATAATTTCAGATTATTAACTATGTCTAAGACATAATTTGAGATTATGAACGATGCCTAAGACATAGATATATGATTTATGTAGCCCCTAAACTTTTAAGTGGATCCCATTTGTAGCCAACTACCCACATCACACACTCACACAGATAGAGAGAGAGAGAGAGAGAGAGAGAGAGAGAGAGAGAGAGAGAGAGAGAGAGAGAGAGAGAGAGAGAGAGAGAGAGAGAGAGAGAGAGAGAGAGAGAGAGAGAGAGAGAGAGAGAGAGTGACTGGATGACTATGCAAATAGATACATCCCAGCCTATTGGATTTCCTCTTGAAGTTCTACTCAAACTTTTAAGTATTATTATATGGGTGAAATTATGAGTAAACAAACATTTACACGTTTGCTTAGGAAGGATGAATGAATGAATGAAGCCAATGCACAAATAAATAAATAACAAATAGAATACAATACAATAGCATACAATAGAATGGAATACATTTACATTTACATTTACGTCATTTAGCAGATGCTCTTATCCAGAGCGACTTACAAATTGGTGCATTCACCCTATAGCCAGTGGGATAACCACATCACAATGTAAAAAAAAAAAAAAATTCAGTCTACTTTGTCATACAAACATCACATAGGCCTATGTATCAAACAAGGTTCATGAAATTAGCTAGTTTCTCTTTATCCGACCCATTATAAACTGTCCAATCAGATTACACCAACTCTGCCAACGTTCATTGGCTACATGTTTTAGCGTCATCTTCCGCAATTGCGTCTATTCACCAACACATCTACGCGTCTTCTCTATTTATTTCTATTGCACGGACAATTTGTACGCACCGGTCAAGACTTGAGCTTCAAAGATAGCGTAATGACGCAAACGGACCTCAGGAAATATCCAGCTCAAACTAAAACCTGCCTATAGTTTCATTCAAGATGGTTTTAGAAACTATTTCAAGGATCATAAAAATCCAGCTTCCAGCCTACCTCAAAAAGCTCCCCCTTCCGGAGACGATCGGAGGATTTGCGAGGTTAACAGGTAAATGGTTACAATGTTGCAATGGTGAAAACAGGAAAGACAGAATAGCTTATCCCCATGCATGCACGCCTACAATACTAGCCACAGTAATTTGCCAGTTTTAATGCGGTTTTTCCAAGTTTCTTATAGATTGTTTTCTGTGTGGCTGTTAAAGTGCTCATCCACTTCATATTGAATAAAGTTCCTTACTTGGCTCAGGTCAAGATGATTGAACATCGTAGGGTAGATTAACAGTGCACTACTTTGAGAAGTGTTCTTGTATTGTTACAATGTATCAGACTCGGAGAGTGGAAACATTGTATCAAGTGTACTGTACCGTAGGTGTAGCCAAACAAGTGTTTCGTTTGTATGTAGCACATTTCCTCTCTTGGCTATTGAAGGGAACTAAACCATGTTATTCCATGCATGTGAAACATTAGGCTACAACAAAATAGATTAAAATCCAGGTTGAGGCTGCTTATACTTTGATATACAGGCTACAGTGATGCGTGTTTTACATACTCCTGTGTGCATCAGCAACAAACTCCAAGTTCAATTGATGGAGTTCATTGCTTGACATGAACAAAGTATATGCTATTAGCAGTGATGATTCTTTCTCTCATTGCAGGCCAGCACATTGAGACCAGTCAGTCAATAAAGCAAAAATAAAACCAACTATAGGCCTATTGGCGCTCTAAATGTTTATAAGGCAATAATAACACTTGATGAGAAGCTGCTTCAAGTAAACTGTTACCAACCAGTCACATGTAGGCTAATAAGACTCGATGGATGGCTTTATAAAAGTTCCTTATGAAACTGCTGCTGATATAATTTGGTGTCATTAAACAGTGCATCATCAAACCTTTCCTTTGCCTTAGCCTCAAAACACTAAATACACTCTCATATTATTCCCATAAAGCAGTGTAAATCTAGGACTGCATGCTTACTCAATGGAGAACAGATTCCTCTCAAACTACACCTGAACGAGGCTCACACACTAGCCTTTCTGAGTAGTTGTGAGAGGAAAAGGGTCTGACGACAGTAGCTGTCATTGCACAACATTGGAAAAGTTATGCCTTGAATTTAAGTACTATGACAAACCCAATGTAAATATTGGCTTTACATGAGCTTTGACAACTTGAAGAAACGCTTATGCTTGACCTTTGGGATGAACGCTGAATGCATGACTATGGAAAGTGTCAGATTTGGGACCTAAAAATAGCCCTAAACTAGTGGCTGGGGTTCTGAGTTGGGTCTTCATAGCAGATATTCTTGAGTGTGGAGATGACATGCCCTTTGCTAAGGAAAGCAGCAGACCTGGGTTCAAGTACCTGGGTTGAGTGTTTTTCCTATTCTGTCTGGATTGCCAGATGGGATGGGTTTTCAGTTTTGGGACTATTATATTTGTCCATTAAGCCAGGCAAGCTCAATCGAGCACAGAGTACAATATTTGAAATGAATTCAAATAGGATTTGAACCCAGGTCTGGAAAGCGGTGGTGGAAAATTATGGTTTCTCCCATTGCCCTGAGGTGCTCCATACTGAGGATCATTGACATTGTAAACATTGATTTAATAAGTCTTCGGTAGCAAATCTATAGGAGATGCATGAACATGAAGCGACTGGAATAATTGGCATGGCACTGGAAGCTCAATTATTGTTAATTTCATTGCCGTTCGGTGTAGCTTTGAAGTTATAACTTGCCTGCAGTCAGTAGCATAAGTACTGAGGTTTTTCCACCCCTATATTACATTTGTCTTTTAAATTTTTTCACTGTCGGGAAAATATGGGAGTCAAGTGAAATGTCCCTGCAGGAATCTAAAGACACTATGGCTGCGTTTAGACAGTCAAAAGACCAATTAGTGGAAAAAAAGATCAGAATTGGATGCCTGTGTAAACGATGCCTCCACACAGGGAAATACATTCTAGCAGCTTCAAATATGTGCGCGTCATTAAATTGTTTTGCTCTTTTGTCCGGATTTGATGGTGTTTTTACATTTGCCTTTTGAAGTCGAGATAAATCGTATAATGAGATTAACATTCTCCCATTAGGCACCCTTCTTTTTAATCAAAAGGCTTTTAATTTAATTGCCATGAGATTCAAAACACAGCCCTCAGCTGTCATAGTCAATGGTATAATCCATGGTCATTGGGGTGCACAGTGATCAGGTTTCCAGACAGTTGTATTCTGCTAAATGGAGACAGCCTATAGAGCTCCACAGTGGAGGTGTCATAATACCCATCAAACCTAGCGGTCAAACAAGGAAATGGTTCCAATCGTTTTTCCACCATTCATTTTTCCCATAGGGAATTTTAGAACACTTAAAATAAGGGCTGTGTTTCGTGTGGGCTTACCCTGGCACAACGTTTTGATAGCCATGTAAACCTCTCTCGAACAAGGTGACTTTCATCAATATATTCCGCTGTATTTACTCTGATTCGAAAATGCTAATTAGCATCAAAGTAGACATCATGCAAGACTACAAATCCCTGCAAGCTTCTGCACGTCATTTCTAGCCTACACCGTTGCTAACAGGTATTGTGTCAATTTAAAAATTGCACAAGACAGTTCACAGAATTGTCAATTGAAAGAAATGTAGCTAACATTAGATAGTTAATCCAGGGGCATGTAGCATCGGACACTGATACAGAACACCCCACCGGAATGTTATGGGAACCTCAGGGGTGGAACAATTGAGGAGATCCAACATCACTGTGTGTGTGTGTGTCTGTGCCTGTGTGTGTTTTACCTGTGCCTGCCTGTGTGTGTGTGCCTGATTTGTGTGTGTGTTTTCTTCCCAGTCTCTGAGTGGCTCCGGTTGCTGCCTCTCCTGGGAATCTTGGCCCTGCTGGGCTACCTCACCATCCGGCCCTTCCTGCCCAAGAAGAAGAAGCAGAAGGACAGCCTGATCAACCTGAAGATCCAGAAGGAGAACCCCAAAGTGGTCAACGAGATCGACATTGAGGACTTGAAGAGCACAAACGTCTGCTACTGCCGCTGCTGGCGCTCCAAAACGGTAAATTGGACTAGAGGGAGAGTTGGATGGTTATTGCTAACACTACACCTTCCTAGTAATTTCAGGGCCCATATTCACAAAGTCTCTCAGTAGGAGTGCTTAGGATCAATATTGCCTGATAGATCATAATGAATAAGATTATATGGACAGGGGGAACCTAATCTTAGATCTCATTCCTACTCTGAGACACTTGTTGAATACAGGCCCTGATCAGCCTGGGATAGTGGTTGGCTTGAGATTGGTTTTAGATCATGTTAGATGCAAAGACATAGCTATAGCAAGTGATCTTCTAACCTTTGTGAAAATGTTATGCAGAATTGTTAGCAATTTATGCAGATGTCAGCAGTTTCTTTGTCCATTCTCACAGTCTTTTGAGGCCAAGGGGAAGCATATGACTGTTAATAAACTGTCAACTATGCGGGGGGCTCAAGTTATCCTATCTATAAGCAATGCCTCGTACTGTACGTATCAGCTAATATTAAGTTGTTTCCTGTTGCAGTTCCCTGTTTGTGACAAATCACACATAAAGCACAACGAGTTGACTGGAGACAACGTGGGGCCTCTCATACTCAAGAAGAAGATACTATAATCCATCTTTAACGCTGTGAGGGAGCCGACATCTTTACTCCCTTCTTCTCTAACGGTCTTTAGTTCTTTTTAAAAATGTGTTTTTGTCTGTATTTTAGGGCATGGCCTTTTGCACTCTGCCAAATTGTCTTACTTTTGTTTTGGTAAAAAAAATATGAAATGGCGCACTTTGCTTTTGGTAGTGATATGCTGCAGAAATGTTGGTGGCGAGTTAACTCCTCAAAGATTTTACCATCAACACTTTTGTGAATCTTATTTATTTCAACTTGCCAATAATGGGCAATAACTGAGATAGTTTGAAAGGCTATACCACGGAGTAGTGTAAAACCTATCACCACTCCCTCTTATTGTCTCCTTCAGAAAACGTTTTGTATAGTGGCCATTTTCCAGTCTGGCTATCTCTCACTTATAGGTCTCGTTAAAAAACAAGTTAACCTAAGGCTCCTTGGTAGCGCCGCTCGGTTCCAAACTATTGGGACCACATTGAGGGGAATTTGGACTTGAATCACGATTGCAACTAGGGTAGCAACTTGCTCTTTAGGATAGTAGTATATTTTGTTAGGTTGAAAGAAAACAACTTTACTTAGCCTTTTCAGTCTCCGAACTGCTGTAAGCTTGAAGTCTTTCACTTGCATACAAACACACTTACAGGATTTGTTTTCTCTGCCATTTCTCTTTGTTCATAACCTTATAAAACATGCCTTAATTCTGTGTTCATACTATATTGTGTGTCCTTGTATTGAAAACTGAAGATCTTAAGACATTTCAGAACATCTTAATTACACAAAACTGCTCCCCTCAAGAAACAATGTTTTTCTACACCAAAATATTTAAGCAATTCCTTTTTTTGCCTTTACAGTATCAAACATGTCAGTTGTCAGATTGACTTTGCATTCAGACTGAATGTGTTGCAAGTACTTCTTAATTAATTCATCAACATGAGATTTGGAGAAGGGATCTGATCCTTTGGTTACTGATCCTTATGTTAAATACCAATTACAGTACATAGATATGTATTTTCATAATGTTTTACTGGGATTTAGGCCGTGGGACTTTTGTAAAATAAAAAAAGTTCACCTGAGTTACTTTGTTTCACAAAATGATTTTTGTCAAATGGCAAGAAGAAAGAAACAGACAGGCCTTGAAGTTTTGGGAACTGATTGGACAACTGATTTACAATCATTTGACACATTATATATTTTCCATGAGTTTGTCTGCACAAAAATGTGTGGTGTTTTCACATTCCAACATATAACCTAAGGACGTCAGCAGCACCAGTTACTATTTGCATCTGCTTTCCATTCCAAAACATTGACACTAGGACCCGACCTGTGCTTTCTGATGGTGATAGGAAAATCTCACCCCTTATAATAAGATATTATCACCACATTAAAGATAAGAACTTTGCTCACCTCTAACACAAAACAAAAACATGACTACTACAATACATGTAGTAACTATATCTACGCTGAGTGTTCAAAACATGAAGGACACCTGCTCTTTCCATGACAGACTGACCAGGTGAATCCAGGTGAAAGCTATGATCCCTTATTGATGTCACTTGTTGAATCCACTTCAATCAGTGTACTGTAGATAAAGGGGAGGAGGCAGATTAAAGAAGGGTTTTTAAGCCTTGAGACATGTGCATTCAGACCCCTTGACTTTTTCCACATTTTGTTACGTTACAGCCTTATTCTAAAATTGGTTAGATAATTTTTTTCCCCTCATCAATCTACACACAATACCTCATAATGACAAAGCAAAAACAGTTTTTTGTAAGTTTTTTCCCAGTATTATTCCAAACAAAAACGGAACTATCACATTTACATAAGTATTCAGACCCTTTACTCAATACTTTGTTGAAGCACCTTTGGCAGCGATTACAACCTCGAGTCTTCTTGGGGATGACGCTACAAGCTTGGCACACCTGTATTTGGGGAGTTTCTCCCATTCTTCTCTGCAGATCCTCTCAAGCCTTGTCAGGTTGGATGAGGAGCTTGTCGCTGCACAGCTATTTTCAGGTCCCTCCAGAGATGTTCGATAGGGTTCAAGTCCAGGCTCTGGCTGGGCCACTAAAGGTCTTTCAAAGACTTGTCCCGAAGTCACTCCTGCGTTGTCTTGGCTGTGTGCTTAGGGTAGTTGTCCTGTTGGAAGGTGAACCTTTGCCCCAGTCTGAGGTCCTGAGCACTCTGGAGCAGGTTTTCATCAAGGATCTCGCTGTACTTTGCTCCGTTCATCTTTCCCTCGATCCTGACTAGTCTCCCAGTCCCTGCCGCTGAAAAACATCCTGCAGCATGATGCTGCCACCACCATGCTTCACCGTAGGGATGGTGCCAGGTTTCCTCCAGATGTGACGCTTGGCATTCAGGCCAAAGACTTCAATCTTGGTTTCATCAGACCAGAGAATCTTGTTTCTCATGGTCTGAGAGTTCTTTAGGTGTCTTTTGGCAAACTCTGAGCGGGCTGTCATGTGCCTTTTACTAAGGAGTGGCTTCTGTCTGGCCAATCTACCATAAAGGTCTGATTGATGGAGTGCTGCAGAGATTGTTGTCGTTCTGGAAGGTTCTCCCATCTACACAGAGGAACTCTGCAGCTCTGTCAGAGTGACCACCGGGTTCTTGGTCACCTCCCTGACCAAGGCCCTTCTCCTCCAATTGCTCAGTTTGGCCTGGCGGCCAGCTCTAGGAAGAGTCTTGGTGGTTCCAAACTTCTTCAATTTAAGTATGATGGAGGCCACTGTGTTCTTGGGGATTTTCAATGCTGCAAACATTTTTTGGTACCCTTCCCCAGATCTGTGCCTCGACACAATCCTGTCTCAGAGCTCTACGGACTATTCCTTCGACCTCATGGCTTGGTTTTTGCTCTGACATGCATTGTCAACTGTGGGACCTTATATAGACAGGTCTGTGCCTTTCCAAATCATGTCCAATCAATTGAATTTACCACAGGTGGACTCCAATCAAGTTGTAGACATATCTCAAGGATGATCAATGGAAACAGGATGCACCTGAGCTCAATTTTGAGTCTAATAACAAAAGGGTCTGAATATTTATGTAAATAAGGTATGTTTTTAATACATTTGCAAACATTTCTAAAAACCTGTTTTCGCTTTTGTCATTACGGGCTACTGTGTGTAGATTGATGAGGATTTTTTATTTATTTAATCAGTTTTAGAATAAGGCTGTAACATAACAAAATGTGGAAAAGTCAAGGGGTCTGAATACTTTCCCGAATGCACTGTATGTGCCATTCAGAGGGTAAATGGGCAAGACAAAATATTTAAGTGCCTTTGAAAAGGGTATGGCACTAGTTTGTGTCAAGAACTGCAATGCTGATAGATTTTTCATGCTGAACAGTTTCCCCGTGTGTATCAAGAATGGTCCACCACCCAAAGGACATCCAGCCAACTTGACACAACTGTAGGAAGCATTGGAGTCAACATGGGCCATCATCCCTGTGGAACGCTTTCGACACCTTTTAGAGTCCATGCACAGACAAATTGAGGCTGTTCTGAGGGCAAAAGTTAGGGATGCAACTCAATATTAGGAAGGTGTCCTTAATGTTTTCTTACACTGAGTGTCAAAAGACTACCACCTTTGTTAAAGGGCCAGTGCAGACGTTATCTCAATATCAAATCATTTCTGGGTATGAATATGTCATTTCCGGGTATAATATTCTGGTTGAGCTATACAGGACTCTTACATGGTATGATATACTACAAATTACTACTGAAAAACCTAAGGGACTCTTTCAAGAGTCCATACAAACGTAACAAAAAAGTATCTAAATCAACTGCACAATAAATACAGAATAATATTAAGAATAATAAAAACATGATAAAATGAATAGAACAAAAACTGTTTTGGCAGTCTTTTCTTAAACATTGATTTTACAGTATATTGCTCGGAATGTGACTCGATTATCTGAGCCACACTGATTTTGCCTGAAAGACCCGTCTTAAATAGATCTTAGCTAGGGGCCCATATTATTCATGTTTTTTGTGACATAATTTGGTCACATTTAGTGCACACTGCACAACATTATCTGAATATTGCTTAAAATGGAAACGTACAATAAATAAAATCATCTTGCCTTTGTCCTGAGTCTAGCTAGCAACAACTGTCCATCGCTAAATATAATATTTTCTCTGTATCAAACTGCATAACAAACTAGTACAACACTTCTCATAAATACATTACATACACACAGAATACAACATCAGCAGCTGGTAAATAATTGATGCGTAAGGCCTAAGGACAAAAAATAAATGTTGTGAGGGCGTACATACAGTGTATGACAGTATGATAATGAACACACAACATGCCTGATGGTCAATTTCACAATTCTAGTGGCTCTGCTCATAGAACCACTTTTAATGATAGGGTATCATTTTAGTTTTAGCATTACTGAATTTTCAGTCGTTGTATCGTAACATTACAGTATAGTGTAGAATGCTTGGATATAGTGGCTTGTTGGTTGAGTGGCAGGTGTAGCTCCAGTCTGGAAACTACCCTTGGGGGAGATATAAATAAACGCTGCAGGATGTCAAACACACCAAGGACAGATACACGGATAGACAGATGAGAGAGGTGGCAAAGCCCCTCTGAAAACCCCCCTGTCTGAAAGGCAATATCGTGGGTGTCACCTGAGTCTAAAATAGGAACCCTATTCTCTATACAGTACCACACTTTAAAGGGAATATGGTGCATTTTTTACACTAGAATAGGATGCCATTTTAGATGCACGCTTGAAGTGCCCCCATTTCCCTATGATCCATCCATGTAATTTTCTCATTGGTGAAGTGTACTTCCTGGTTCCCGCCACTGAGGTTGGTTTGTTATCAGAGGGTACTCTCGTAGGAGATTGGGGTGTCGGTTATAGTTCCGCTTTGCTCCCGCTCTGAAAGGGTAGAAAATAATTATTAAAAAATGTATTTTGCCGTGTGTGTGTGTGTGTGTGTGTGTGTGTGTGTGTGTGTGCTTGCGTGTGTGCGAGAGCGAGAGAAACTGAAGTGCCTCCATGTGAGTATAAACAAAATAAGACTAGAGGCCAAATGGTTAATATGGAAAATGTCTCAGCGAGTGTAGAGTCTGAGACACAGTGATTGGCAGGTAACACATTTTACCAGGACACACAGTGTAGTCAAATAAAAAATCTCCCTCCAAACCTGAAGAGCAAAAAAAGCCACCATTGTGTGGTGACAGGGCTGAGACGAAGCATGATGCAGGAAACAAAAACTACCTGAAGCCACGATACAATTCATTCTCCCATCCACAGCTTCTCTTTATTAGCCTGAGATCCTGGCTGATGCGCTCTGTTTCACCATTGTCAACCATGTTGAAACAAAGCATATATGTTTGGATTCCAGGCTTTTTCTAATAAAGATAATCTCTGTCATAAAGGGACACTGCTTTTCATAAACACGCTTCCTTCCCAATGCTGTGTGGACAAAGCTATGACAAGCTGTCACTCAAGCAAGTTTAGTAGTAGGTGTGGGGTTTTGTGTGTGTGTTTCTATATTAAAACACTCAGATGGTGAGGCAGTCCTTCCTGTTGCTGTGTGTGTGTGCTTCTGTCTTTGCATTTATGCAGACAGTGTGTTTGCACATTCTGTGTGTGCGTACTCACCCCAGGCAGGGTTCTTTGGTTTCTGCAGCAGGCGAGGTCCTGTGAGTCCTATGACAAGGGCCCCTATGGGGGCGGTGAGCAGGATGGAGAGCACGGCTACTGTCAGCACGTCCATGCCGTACTTCTCCAGCTCCTTATCCTCCTTGGTGCGGGCCATGTCCAGCGCTGTGGAGCCGATGGCCGCCTGGGGAGAGAAGATCGACACATTGGCCACATGTTACCCACAACATTGTGAGAGCTGGAACACTCACCCGTCATAAACTTAAAATGACACCAACATTGGTAATAATACGACAGATTTTCCCTAACCCCTTCTCCAGCTCACGCAGAGCAGCACCAGACTCTGCAAAAACATTATTTTTACTCACAATACTAATATTGTTACGAGTTTAAGTAAACAGAAAACAAACGTGTTGCATGTGGCGCAATCACTAGTCACAATATTCAAATTATATGGTTATTTTGCTTGTTGAGAAGCCTTTTTGTGAGGCAAATTTCTCCCTTAGATAGTCTTTTGTATGCTTATTGGATAGCGAGAGATGGAGAGGAGAGAGAATGCTGAAAGAGCAGTAAGCTGGATTCGAGCCCTGAGGCAGTGGCTTAGACCGCTAGACCACCTTAGTTTCTGTTTACCATTAAGTACCTGTACGGTGGCTTTGGGTAGCCAGGCCAGAGCAATAAAGAGCTTCTCTTTGAAGTTGAAGCCGGCACACAGCACACAGACGAAGGTGAAGAGAACACGCACCAGCAGACCAATGGCCAGACAGCCTATGCCCAGGCCTGGTAGGACAGATAAGTTAAGGGGGGGGGAGTAGAATGACAGAAACACTTTATTCAAGTTACATTTGGAAAACATTTGGAAAACGCCCCTAATAGATGATCTCCAAAGAGCGGGGTATAAATGTATATTATGTGGTGTGTGTTCTTACTGACTGTGTGTTTATGCATGTGTGTGTTCTCACCGACAGTGTTTTTGTCCAGCTCTGAGATTTGGATCTCGGCCCCGATCAGGCCGAACAGCAGTGGCTGGAACACCTCCCAGGCAATACCTACTATGTCCTCCACAGGGACCTGCACACACACCCGCCGAGTCAGACAGACACGTACACACACGCATAAAGTATTCAGACCCCTTCCCTCTAAAATTGATTTAAAAAAATAAAAAAATAATCAATCTACACACAATACCCCATAATGACAAAGCAAAAACTGATTCTTTAGACATTTTTGTACATTTATTAAAAATAAAAATACATTATTTACATTAGTATTCAGACCCATTGTAATGAGACTCTAAATTGAGCTCAGGTGCATCCTGTTTCCATTGATCATCCTTGAGAGTCCACCTGTGGTCAATTCAATTGATTGGACATGATTTGGAAAGGCACACACCTGTCTATATAAGGTCCCACAGTTGACAGTGCATGTCAGAGCAGAAACCAAGCCATGAGGCCGAAGGAATTGTCCATAAAGCTCAAAGACAGGATTGTGTCAAGGCACAGATCTGGGGAAGGGTTCCAAAAAATATCTGCAGCATTGAAGGTCCCCAAGAACACAGTGCCCTCCATCATTGTTAAATGGAAGAAGTTTGGAACCACCAAGACTCTTCCTAGAGCTGGCCGCCCGGCCAAACTGAGCAATCGGGGGAAGTCAGGGAAGTGACCAAGAACCCGATGGTCACTGACAGAGCTCCAGAGTTCCTCTGTAGAGATGGGAGAACCTTCCAGAAGGACAACCATCTCTGCAGCACTCCACAAATCAGGCCTTTATGGTAGAGTGGCCAGACGGACGCCACACCTCAGTAAAAGGCACATGACAGCCCGCTTGGAGTTTGCCAAAAGGCACCCAAAGGACTCTCAGACAATAAGAAACAACATTCTCTGGTCTAATGAAAACAAGACTGAACTCTTTGGCCGGAATGCCAAGCGTCACGTCTGGAGGAAACCTGGCACCATCCCTACGGTGAAGCATGGTGGTGGGGGCATCATGCTGTGGGGATGTTTTTCAGCGGCAGGGACTGGGAGACTAGTCAGGATCGAGGGAAAGATGAACAGAGCAAAGTACAGAGAGATCCTTGATGAAAACCTGCTCCAGAGCGCTCAGGACCTCAGACTGGGGCAAAGGTTCACCTTCCAACAGGACAATGACCCTAAGCACACAGCCAAGACAACGCAGGAGTGGCTTCGGGACAAGTCTCTGAATGTCCTTGAGTGTCTCAGCCAGAGCCCAGACTTGAACCTGATCGAACATCTCTGGAGAGACCTGAAAAAAGCTGTGCAGCAACACTCCCCATCCAACCTGACAGAGCTTGAGAGGATCTGTAGAGAAGAATGGGAGAAACTCCCCAAATACAGGTGTGCCAAGCTTGTAGGGTCATACCCAAGAAGACTCGCAGCTGTAATTGCTGCAAAAGGTGCTTCAACAAAGTACTGAGTAAAGGGACTGAATACTTATTTAAATGTAATATCAGTAAATTTTTTATACATTTGCAAAAATGTCAAAAAACATGTTTTTGCTTTGTCATTATGGGGTATTGTGTGTAGATTGATGAGGGAAAAAAATCTATTTAATCCGTTTTAGAATAAGGCTGTAACGTAACAAAATGTGGAAAAAGTCAAGGGGTCTGAATACTTTCCGAATGCACTGTGCACGCACACACACGGACACCCAAGTGTTACGGTTTCTCAAATTACTGACATTTTCAACATGTTTTCAAAAACAAATTGTGAAAGTAGAGCAAATGGAAGGGTTCGAGAGGTGCTATTAAAACAAGTGATAACAAAAACATTAAAAACCCCCTACCAGACACAAACCAGACTACAGAGAGAGTTCAGCAAACACCAAGACTTCACAACTGTGTTTCTCTACTGGAGAATCTGCCTCCCATAGAGACAATACCAGATGGGACTCTGTGACTGTATATTTGGGATTGGGCCTCTGTATACTGACTGGAAGGGTCCCACTGTGTCCTAAAACAACAGTTTGTGTTGCACTGGAACGTTCAAGCTGTCCAGCTGCTATCCAATGCTTTAGGGGGGCATTTGGGGGTTGGGTGAGAGAGTAAATGTCTAGCTAGAAGATGCAGTGTACGGGGGGTTGAGTGAGGGGTTGACACGGGATGGGGTCGTTGTGTGTGTGTGTGTGTGTGGTTGACTGACCTTTGACCTTCTCCAGCCCAGGCCGGCCAGGAAGGCGAGGACCAGGGTGCAGAGGCCCCCCGAGCCGGGGAAACCGGCCACGTTGCTGCCGAACACGGCAAACACCGACAGGCCCAGCAGCAGGAATGAGCGCTTCATCACAACGTTGTCCTACAGGAGAGAGAGCGAGAGAGTGAAAGAAGAAGGAAGGAAGGATGCATTACTAAAGTTTTCCAAACAAGGACTATGTCCCTGGAGTAACATTATTGAAAAAGGGAAAGGCTACTGAGAAAACTGAGCTTCGTTATAGGTCAACTCTACAGGCCAGTTTCCTAGAGCTGTATTAAGCCTACTCCTAGACTAAAAGCTAAGTGCTTTTAATAGAGATTCGTACCTGGTCTTTGCTGGGAAAGTAGCGCAGCAGGAATCCCAGCAGTACCCCAGCTACCATTCCCCCTCCCACTTCCAGTATACCCCTCAGCAAGTTGTACCACATGGAGCCTGCAGAGGGAGACACAGCACAACAAAACATATACAGTTATATCAAAAGATGATGGATGCGTCCCAAATGGCACCCTGTTCCTTATATAGTGCACTACTTTTGACCAGAATCCTATGTGGGCCCTGGTTAAAAGTAGTTCACTATATATAGAATGGGATGCATTTAGGTTGCATTATGCAGTAGGAAGTCAATAATAAAACGCATGCAATACAGAGGAAGACACTGTAATAGCAGAACACATGCAGTTAGCTCATACTAAATGCATCCCATTCTATACTAAAAGCATGGCGCTTGCAACAACAGAGTTCGTAGGTTCGATTCCCGAAGTGTGAGGGCGCCATCTATTGGATCCAGGACGGATTGCAGGAAGATTTCTATGAATGTTTTGACAAAAACAGATCAAAAAGGTATATTCTTTTTCTAGTGGTCTCCTCTCATCATTGGCTCAGAGCAGAGGCACAGATCAACAACCTTTCTCCTGATTGGGTCAGAGCAGAAGTACAGATCAACATGCTCCCTCCTGAGTGGATCCCTACCGGTGGCGAAGGCCATGCCCATGCAGGTGGTGAAGCCGGTGATGGCCAGGATGTCATCGAAGCTGCCGGCGGCCATAAGGAGGGTAGGGATACCCTGCTCCAAGCCGTAGCCATCCTTCTGCAGCAGCAGCATGGAGGGAACCACCACAGCCGGGGACACGGCTCCCAGCACAAACCTACAAGAGATGGGAGAGCCAAAGTGAGAGTTAATCATCATAATATCATATTCATCAGGTTTGGGTTGCCAGAATGGGTGAGTTTGGGTTGCCAGGCTTAAGAGCGACCTCCGAAGTAACAACCTGTAATACAGTGCATTCGGAAAGTATTCAGACCCCTTGACTTTTTCCACATTTTGTTACTTACAGACTTATTTTAAAATTGATTACATTTTTTCCCTCATCAATCTACACACAATACCCCATAATGACAAAGCAAAAACAGAAATATCACATTCACATACAGCACCAGTCAAAAGTTCTCTGTCATAAACCTACTCATTGAAGGGTTTTTCTTTATTTGTAATATTTTCTACATTGTAGAATAATAGTAAAGACATCAAAACTATGAAATAACACATATATAATCATGTAGTAACCATAAAAGTGTTTAAAAAAATCAAAATATATTTAAGATTTTTCAAAGTAGGCACCCTTTGCCTTGATGACAGCTTTGCACACGCTTGGCATTCTCTCAACCAGCTTCACCTGGAATGTTCCCACATATGCTGAGCACTTGTTGGCTGCTTTTCCTTCACTCTACGGTCCAACTCATCCCAAACCATCTCAATTGGGTTGAGGTCGGGTGATTGTGGAGGCCAGATCATCTGATGCAGTACTCCATCACTCTCCTTCTTGGTCAAATAGCCCTTACACAGCCTGGAGGTGTGCTTGGTCATTGTCCTGTTGAAAAACAAATGATAGTCCCACTAAGCGCTAACCAGATGGGATGGCGTATCGCTGCAGAATGCTGTGGTAGCCATGCTGGTTAAGTGTGCCTTGAATTCTAAATAAAATCACAGACAGTGTCACCAGCAAAGCACCCCCACACCTCCATGCTTCACGGTGGGAACTACACATGCAGAGATCATCCGTTCACATACTCTGAGTCTCACAAAGACACGGCGGTTGGAACTAAAAATCTCAATTTTGGACTAATCAAACCAAAGGACAGATTTCCACCGGTCTAATGTCCATTGCTCGTGTTTCTTGGCCCAAGCAAGTCTCTTCTTCTTATTGGTGTCCTTTAGTAGTGGTTTCTTTGCAGCAATTCTACCATGAAGGCCTGATTCACGCAGTCTCCTCTGATCAGTTGATGTTGAGATGTGTCTGTTACTTGAACTCTGTGAAGCATTTATTTGGGTTGCAATATCTGAGGCTGGTAACTCTAATGAATTTATCCTCTGCAGCAGAGGTTACACTGGGTCTTCCTTTCCTGTGGCAGTCCTCATGAGAGCAGGTTTCATCATAGCGCTTGATGTTTTTTGCAACTGCACTTGAAGAAACTTTCAAAGTTCTTGACATTTTCCAGGTTGACTGACCTTCATGTCTTAAAGTAATGATGTACTGTCATTTCTCTTTGCTTATTTGAGCTGTTCTTGCCATAATATGGACTTGGTCTTTTACCAAATAGGGCTATCTTCAATATACCACCCCTACCTTGTCACAACACAACTGATTGGCTCAAACGCATTAAGAAGGAAAGAAATTCCACAAATTAACTTTTAACAAGGCACACCTGTTAACTGAAATGCATTCCATGTGCCTACCTCATGAAGCTGGTTGAGAAAATGCCAAGAGTGAGCAAAGCTGTCATCAAGGCAAAGAGTGGCTACTTTGAAGAATCTCAAATATATTTTGATTTGTTTAACACTTGTTTGGTTACTACATCATTCCATATGTGTTATTTCATAGTTTTGATGTCTTCACTATTATTCTACAAAATAGTACAAATAAAGAAAAACTCTGGAATGAGTAGGTGTGTTCAAACTTTTGACTGGTACTGTAAGTATTCAGACCCTTTACTCTGTACTTTGTTGAAGCACCTTTGGCAGCGATTACAACCTCAAATCTTCTTGGGTATGACACTACAAGCTTGGCACACCTGTTTTTGGGGAGTTTCTCCCATTCTTCTTTGCAGATCCTCTCAAGCTCTGTCAGGTTGGATGGGGAGCGTCGCTGCACAGCTATTTTCAGGTCTCTTCAGAGATGTTTGATCTGGTTCAAGTCCTGGCTCAGGCTGGGCCACTCAAGGACATTCAGAGACTTGTCCCGATGCCACTCATGCGTTGTCTTGGCTGTGTGCTTAGGGTCATTGTCCTGTTGGAAGACGAACCTTCACCCCAGTCGGAGGTCCTGAGCGCTCTGGAGCAGGTTTTCATCAAGGATCTCACTGTACATTGCTCCATTCATCTTACCCTCAATCCTGACTAGTCTCCAAGTCCCTGCCGCTGAAAAACATCCTTACAGCATGATGCTGCCACCACCATGCTTCACCGTAGGGATGGTGCCAGGTTTCCTCCAGGCATGACGGTTGGCATTCAGGACAAAAGAGTTCAATCTTGTTTCTCATAGTCAGAGTCTTTAGGTGCATTTTGGCAAACTCCAAGCGGGCTGTCATTTGCCTTTTACTGAGGAGTGGCTTTTGTCTGGCCACTCTACCATAAAGGTCTGATTGGTGGAGTGCTGCGGAGATGGTTGTCCTTCTGGAAGGTTCTCCCATCTCCACAGAAGAACTCTGGAGCTCTGTCAGACTGACCATTGGGTTCTTGGTCACCTCCCTGACCAAGGCCCTTCTCCCCCGATTGCTCTGTTTGGCCAAGTGACAAGCTCTAGGAAGAGTCTTGGTGGTTCCAAACTTCTTCCATTTAAGAATGGAGGCCAATGTGTTCTTGGAGACCATCAATGCTGCAGACATTTTTTGGTACCCTTCCCCAAATCTGTGCCTTGACACAATCCTGTCTCGGAGCTCTACGGACAATTCCTTCGACCTCATGGCTTGGTTTTTTGCTCTGACATGCATTGTCAACTGTGGAACCTTATATAGACAGGTGTGTGCCTTTCCAAATTATGTCCAGTCAATTGAATTGACCACAGGTGGACTCCAATGAAGTTGTAGAAACATCTCAAGGATGATCAATGGAAACAGGATGCACCTGAGCTCAATTTCGAGTCTCATAGCAAAGGGTCTGAATATTGATGTAAATAGGGTATTTAAGTTTTTATTTTTTATAAATGTGCAATCTAAAACCCTTTTTTCACTTTGTCATGATGGGGTACTGTGTTGATGAGGAAAAACATTCATTTTAGAATAAGGATGTAACGTAACAAAATGTGGAAAAAGTCAAGGGGTCTGAATACTTTCCAAATGCACTATATGAATACTGATCATAATACACTGCTCAAAAAAATAAAGGGAACACTAAAATAACACATTCTAGATCTGAATGAATGAAATTCTTATTAAAAATACTTTTTTCTTTACATAGTTGAATGTGCTGACAACAAAATCACACAAAAATGAAAAATGGAAATCAAATGTATCAACCCATGGAGGTCTGGATTTGGAGTCACCCTCAAAATTAAAGTGGAAAACCACACTACAGGCTGATCCAACTTTGATGTACAGTGGGGAAAAAAAGTATTTAGTCAGCCACCAATTGTGCAAGTTCTCCCACTTAAAAAGATGAGAGAGGCCTGTAATTTTCATCATAGGTACATGTCAACTATGACAGACAAAATGAGAAAAAAAATTCCAGAAAATCACATTGTAGGATTTCATGAATTTATTAGCAAATTATGGTGGAAAATAAGTATTTGGTCACCTACAAACAAGCAAGATTTCTGGCTCTCACAGACCTGTAACTTCTTCTTTAAGAGGCTCCTCTGTCCTCCACTCGTTACCTGTATTAATGGCACCTGTTTGAACTTGTTATCAGTATAAAAGACACCTGTCCACAACCTCAAACAGTCACACTCCAAACTCCACAATGGCCAAGACCAAAGAGCTGTCAAAGGACACCAGAAACAAAATTGTAGACCTGCACCAGGCTAGGAAGACTGAATCTGCAATAGGTAAGCAGCTTGGTTTGAAGAAATCAACTGTGGGAGCAATTATTAGGAAATGGAAGACATACAAGACCACTGATAATCTCCCTCGATCTGGGGCTCCCCGCAAGATCTCACCCCGTGGGGTCAAAATGATCACAAGATCCCAGAACCACACGGGGGGACATAGTGAATGACCTGCAGAGAGCTGGGACCAAAGTAACAAAGCCTACCATCAGTAACACACTACGCCGCCAGGGACTAAAATCCTGCAGTGCCAGACGTGTCCCCCTGCTTAAGCCAGTACATGTCCAGGCCCGTCTGAAGTTTACTAGAGTGCATTTGGATGATCCAGAAGAGGATTGGGAGAATGTCATATGGTCAGATGAAACCAAAATAGAACTTTTTGGTAAAAACTCAACTCGTCGTGTTTGGAGGACAAAGAATGCTGAGTTGCATCCAAAGAACACCATACCTACTGTGAAGCATGGGTGTGGAAACATCATGCTTTGGGGCTGTTTTTCTGCAAAGGGACCAGGACAACTGATCCGTGTAAAGGAAAGAATGAATGGGGCCATGTATCGTGAGATTTTGAGTGAAAACCTCCTTCCATCAGCAAGGGCATTGAAGATGAAACGTGGCTGGGTCTTTCAGCATGACAATGATCCCAAACACACCGCCCGGGCAACGAAGGAGTGGCTTCGTAAGAAGCATTTCAAGGTCCTGGAGTGGCCTAGCCAGTCTCCAGATCTCAACGCCATAGAAAATCTTTGGAGGGAGTTGAAAGTCCGTGTTGCCCAGCGACAGCCCCAAAACATCACTGCTCTAGAGGAGATCTGCATGGAGGAATGGGCCAAAATACCAGCAACAGTGTGTGAAAACCTTGTGAAGACTTACAGAAAACGTTTGACCTGTGTCATTGCCAACAAAGGGTATATAACAAAGTATTGAGAAACTTTTGTTATTGACCAAATACTTATTTTCCACCATAATTTGCAAATAAATTCATTAAAAATCCTACACTGTGATTTTCTGGATTTTCTTTCTCATTTTGTCTGTCATAGTTGACGTGTACCTATGATGAAAATTACAGGCCTCTCTCATCTTTTTAAGTGGGAGAACTTGCACAATTGGTGGCTGACTAAATAAAAAATTTCCCCACTGTAATGTCCTTAAAACAAGTCAAAATGAGGCTCAGTAGTGTGTGTGGCCTCCACGTGCCTGTCTTCATCGACCTGGCCAAGGCTTTCGACTCTGTCAACCACCGCATTCTTATTGGCAGACTAAATAGCCTTGGTTTCTCAAATGACTGCCTCGCCTGGTTCACCAACTACTTCTCAGATAGAGTTCAGTGTGTCAAATCGGAGGGCCTGTTGTCTGGACCTATGGCAGTCTCTATGGGGGTGCCACAGGGTTCAATTCTTGGGCCGACACTTTTCTCCGTGTATATCAATGATGTCGCTCTTGCTGCTGGTGACTCTCAGATCCACCTCTACGCAGACGACACCATTTTGTATACATCTGGCCCTTCATTGGACACTGTGTTAACAAACCTCCAAACGAGCTTCAATGCCATACAACAATCCTTCAGTAGCCTTCAACTGCTCTTAAACACTAGTAAAACTAAATGCATGCTTTTCAATCGAACGCTGCTAGCACCCGCCCACCCGACTAGAATCACCACTCTCGACGGGTCGGACCTAGAGTATGTGGACAACTACAAATATCTAGGTGTCTGGTTAGACTGTAAACTCAACTTCCAGACTCACATAAAGAATCTCCAATCCAAAGTTAAATCTAGAATCGGCTTCCTATTTCGCAACAAAGCCTCCTTCACTCATGCTGCCAAACATGCCCTCGTAAAACTGACTATCCTACCGATCCTTGACTTCGGTGATGTCATTTACAAAATAGCCTCCAACACTCTACTCAGCAAATTGGATGTAGTCTATCACAGTGCCATCCGTTTTGTCTCCAAAGCCCCATACACTACCCACCACTGTGACCTGTACGCTCTTGTTGGCTGGTCCTCACTACATGTCCGTCGTCAAACCCACTGGCTCCAGGCCATCTATAAATCACTGCTAGGCAAATCCCCGCCTTATCTTAGCTCATTGGTCACCATAGCAGCACCCACCCGTAGTCTGCGCTCCAGCAGGTATATCTCACTGGTCATTCCCAAAGCCAACACCTCCTTTGGCCGCCATTCCTTCCAGTTCTCTGCTGCCAATGACTGGAACGAATTGCAAAAATCTCTGAAGCTGGAGACTCTTATCTCCCTCAATAACTTTAAGCATCAGTTGTCAGAGCACCTTACCGATCACTGCACCTGTACACAGCCCATCTGAAATTAGCCCACCCAACTACCTCATCCCTATATTGTTATTTATTTTGCTCTTTTGCACCCCAGTATCTCTATTTGCACATAATCTCTTGCACATCTAGCATTCCAGTGTTAATACTATTGTAATTATTCTGCACTATAGCCTATTTATTGCCTTACCTCCATAACTTGCTACATTTGCACACACTGTATATATATTTTCTGTTGTATTTCTGACTTTATGTTTTTTTACCCCATATGTAACTCTGTGTTGTTTTTATTGCACTACTTTGCTTTATCTTGGCCAGGTCGCAGTTGTAAATGAGAACCTGTTCTCAACTGGCTTACCTGGTTAAATAAAGGTGAAATAAAAAAAATAAAAAAATGACCTCCCTACAACACCTGGGCATGCTCCTGATGAGGTGGCGGATGGTCTCCTGAGGGAGCTCCTCCCAGACCTGGACTAAAGCATCCGCCAACTCCTGGACAGTCTGTGGTGCAACGTGGCGTTGGTGGATGGAGCGACATGATGTGCTCAATTGGATTCAGGTCTGGGGAACGGGCGGGCCAGTCCATAGCATCAATGCCTTCCTCTTGCAGGAACTGCTGACACACTCCAGCCACATGAGGTCTAGCATTGTCTTGCATTAGGAGGAACCCAGGGCCAACCGCACCAGCATATGGTCTCACAAGGGGTCTGAGGATCTCATCTCGGTACCTAATGGCAGTCAGGCTACCTCTGGCGAGCACATGGAGGGCTGTGCGCCCCCCCCCCCCCCAAAGAAATGCCACCCCACACCATGACCCACCGCCAAACCGGTCATGCTGGAGGATGTTGCAGGCAGCAGAACGTTCTCCACGGCGTCTCCAGACTCTGTCACGTCTGTCACATGCTCAGTGTGCTTTCATCTGTGAAGAGCACAGGGCGCCAGTGGCGAATTTGCCAATCTTGGTGTTCTCTGGCAAATGCCAAACGTCCTGCACAGTGTTGGGCTGTAAGCACAACCCCCACCTGTGGACGTCGGGCCCTCATACCACCCTCATGGAGTCTGTTTCTGACCGTTTAAGCAGACACAGGTTATTTTGCAGGGCTCTGGCAGTGCTCCTCCTGCTCCTCCTTGCACAAAGGCGGAGGTAGCAGTCCTGCTGCTGGGTTGTTGCCCTCCTACGGCCTCCTCCACGTCTCCTGATGTACTGGCCTGTCTCCTGGTAGCGCCTCCATGCTCTGGACACTACGCTGACAGACACAGCAAACCTTCTTGCCACAGCTCGCATTGATGTGCCATCCTGGATGAGCTGCACTACCTGAGCCACTTGTGTGGGTTGTAGACTCCGTCTCATGCTACCACTAGAGTGAAAGCACCGCCAGCATTCAAAAGTGACCAAAACATCAGCCAGGAAGCATAGGAACTGAGAAGTGGTCTGTGGTCACCACCTGCAAAACCAGTCCTTTATTGGGGGTATCTTGCTAATTGCCTATAATTTCCACCTGTTGTCTATTCCATTTGCACAACAGCATGTGAAATGTATTGTCAATCAGTGTTGTTTCCTAAGTGGACAGTTTGATTTCACAGAAGTGTGATTGACTTGGAGTTACATTGTGTTGTTTAAGTGTTCCCTTTATTTTTTTGAGCAGTGTATTATATGAACATTTAGCAGATGGCCAGTACAAACCTACAAGAGAGGAGACATACTATGAGGGTTCATCATATAATATAATATGGCCCTGTAGAAGATGCTTTCAAAGGCCAGGTTATTGTAAAAGCACTTTGTGTCAACTGCTGATGTAAAAAGGGCTTTACATAAACATAATGCATTTGATTGATTTGAAGACATCACAAACCTAAAAGAGACAGGGGAGGGGAGATGGGGGATAATACAATGAGTCTAGACAAAGTGTTTAATGATGCAGCTTTACTAATAGGGATTAGTTTGAGATATACACTATATATAAAAAAGTATGTGGACACCCCTTCAAATGAGTGGATTTGGCTATTTCAGCCACACCCGTTGCTGATATAGGTGTATAAAATCGAGCACACAGCCATGGAATCTCCATAGACAAACATTGGCAGTTGAATGGCGTTACTGAAGAGCTGTGACTGTTAACGTGGAACCGTCATAGGATGCCACCTTTCCAACAAGTCAGTTCGTCAAATTTCTGCCCTGCTAGAGCTGCCCCGGTCAACTGTAAGTGCTGTTATTGTGACGTGGAAACGTCTAGGCTCAGCCGTGAATGGTAGGCCACACAAGCTCACAGAACAGGGCCGCCGAGTGCTGAAAAATCATCTGTCCTCGATTGCAACACTCACTACCGAGTTCCAAACTGCCTCTGGAAGCAACGTCAGCACAATAACTGTTCATCGGGAGCTTCATGAAATGGGTTTCCATGGCCGAGCAGCCGCAAACAAGCCTAAGATCACCATGCGCAATGCCAAGCGTCGGCTGGAGTGGTGTAAATCTCGCCGCCATTGGACTCTGGAGCAGTGGAAACGTATTCCTGGAGTGATGAATTACGCTTCACCATCTGGCAGTCCGACGGACGAATCTGGGTTTGGAGGAAGCCAGGAGAACGCTACCTGGCCGAATAAATAGTGCTAACTGTAAAGTTTGGTGGAGGAGGAATAATGGTCAGGCGCTGGTTTTCATGGTTTGGGCTAGGCCCCTTAGTTCCAGTAAAGGGAAATCTTAACGCTATAGCATACAATGATATTCTAGACGATTCTATGCTTTCCTGTTTCAGAATGACAATGCCCCCGTGCACAAAGCGAGGTCCATACAGAAATTGTTTGTCGAGATCGGTGTGGAAGAACTTGACTGACCTGCACAGAGCCCTGACCTCAACACCATCGAACACCTTTAGGATGAATTGGAACACTGACTCCGAGCCAGGCCTAATCGCCCAACCTCACTAATGCTCCTGTGGCTGAATTGAAGCAAGTTCCCGTAGCAATGTTCCAACATCTAGTTGAAAGCCTTCCCAGAAGAGTGGAGGCTGTTATAGCAGCAAAGGGGAGACCAACTCCATATTAATGCCCATGATTTTGGAATGAGATATTCGACGAGCAGGTGTCCACATACTTTTGATAATGTAGTGTATTTAGAGGGATGGATGAATAGAACGATGGACAGATCAGAGTGAGAGACAGCAAGAGTGGAGAGGATGAGAGAGCAAGAGTGGAGAGGACGAGAGAGAGAGCAAGAGAGAGGAGGAGAGAAATAGAGAAGACAGAGATAGAAAGCAAAAGACAGGGATAGAGCAAGAAAGAGAGAGGAGAGAGAGAAAGAAAGACAGAGAGAGCAAGGGGCTAAGAATCATAGGATGAAATGAAAATGTATAAAGGCAGGGTCTCCAAACCTGTTCCTGGAGGGCTACCCTCCTGTAGGTTTTCGTTCCAACCCCAGTTGTAACTAACCTGGGTCAGCTTATCAACCAGCTAATTATTAGAATCAGGTGCGCTAGATTAAGGTTGGAGTGCAAACCTATGGCACAGTAGCTCTCCAGGAACAGGGTTGGAGAGCTCTGATATAAAGGATACTTCAAGTGTTCACGGGGAGTTACAGTAGCTGCCAAATACTCTACACCTGTCTTATTGGAATGCAAGCGGTGTTAGGTAGCCCTTTAGTTTTACAAATGCATCGGGAGGCTGCAGAATACTAAGTGGGATTTAGAAGTAGAAGTCTCAGAGAGACAGAGAGCGAGAGAGACAGAGAGAGACAACGAGAGAGGGAGAAGAGAGAGACAACGAGACAGAGAGAAAGAGAGTTTACCCTAGGATGAATCCCCATATCCAGGGCAGGCCCATGAGGAAGTGGGAGACGATGGCGATGGTGCATGCCTCGATGATGCAGGGTCCCATTCCCACACGTATACACACCATACTAAGCTTCTTCAGAGCCTGGGAACACATACATGTACACACACACACATTAAAAGGAAAAATCATTAAGTCAAGTTTTGAAGATAAAGGACATTCAAGAAGCAAAGTGTCACTTGCTACATCATCATGTTGATGAGTTTTGCATCATGATGATGTGGCAAGTGACACTTTGCTTCTTGAAAGTTCTGAAAACTTGACTGCTGAAATGCAAAACATTTTGGGACTGTATCAACAGTGGACTAATTTAAAAAACATACACATATTGTTTTTTAGTGAATTTTTCCTTTAACACAGGTTATCACAGGAACATAAATAATAAAGACAAGTACTAAACACTAAAAGCATTGGCCTATGGAGAGAGATTAGTGTTTGATTGACATACTGAGCCATCCAATCCCAGGCCTGCTCGGGCCAGGATGACAGCGAGGGCAATGTTCCTCAGGGCGGCGGACCATCGGAAGTCGATGTACACGGCGTCCGTTACCACGGGGATATTACGCAGCAGGAAGCCCGTCAATAGCATACCTGTAGAGAATGACAGAGAACAATGATACTTTATCATACTATTATATTAAAGTTAATACTTTTATAAACAACCATGGTGTTATTCTTTGGACTTTCTCTCACAGCAAGAGGGGCAAAAAAACGATGTATTGCTGTATTGTTCTGAAGACAATCTTGTATTTATAAAAAGGAGAGTTAAAACAGAGAACTTGAGGCTAAGATATCATTCCCATCTTCACATTGGTTAAATGCCAAGAAATTCACTTTTTCCGACACATTCTTTGTTCTGATAGTCTGGGAACTGCGTATTAAAAGGTTGAAGATCAATTGGTTTAAGATATCAAAGGCTTCTAGGCATAGGATCCTTTTGAGAGTAAAGAAAAAACCTTTCCAAGTAGGAATAGTGCAAACTGAAGAGAGACATGCATACAGTGGAGTCTTTAATCTACTGTATGAAATTGAATTGCCTTTGAAGTTCAGAAAGATCAATGTGGTCCTGTGTGGTTTAGTTGGTAAGAGTGGCATTAGCCAACGCCAGGGTTGTGGATTTGATTCCCGCTGGTGGTATACTAAACCGTATGCACTCACAGTCACTGTGCTGTAAGCCGCTTTGGATATAAGTGTCTGCTTAATAGCATATTATCAATAAAGTACACAACAATTGCATCCCATCTGGGACGCAAGCAATGAATACTAACTGAGCAGGGAGGAACTAGTTAACAGGCATAAGAATATGGGACCGACTGTCTGTTAGCCTAAATACCTTTAAGGCTGTAACAAAGCTTGGCCGAAATGAAATTCCTGCTTTGTTCCGTTTTAATCCTGCGTCAGGCCAAAGAAGTCTGTTCAGTTCAAACAACGAAACGGGGACTTTGAACTGGGAAACAGAGTTCCTCTGGGTTTAAAAAAAGGAAAACAGGGGTTGGAGAGACATTAACTATCCAAGTTTTGAAATCAAAGATCTACATCCAACAATCAGTTTTTGGTTCAGACTTTACTTCTGACCTATGGAGTGGGATCTATCGGATAGACACTACGCTAACGATCAAAGTTTCGAAATCAAACACCCACCAAAACACTTTTTTTATTATCTACAATCTCCTTTCTGGACTGTTGAAAGTGAGGAGTAGGTTGTGAATCTGAACATCTGACTTCTATCTTTTTGTGAGCTGAGTGAGTGGCCACTGTCTTATTATATGGGTCTGTGCAAACTATAGGTCTTGTCATGTGGTTACCAGCATCAAGAGAGACTTTGGTCAAAGCTGCGCCGTATCTCAACCAAGTCTCTATTGTATGGTGAGAAATGCAAAATACTCCCTATCAGTCTAAGTCAACAAGGGTGTTCATTTGGTTAGAAATGGGATAAGGTGGGATATGAACTCACTTCACTGTCTAGGTATGGTAGTAACACATGTATGATGTACTAGTCCCCTGTAGCTCAGTTGGTAGAGCATGGCGCTTGCAACGCCAGGGTTGTGGGTTCGTTTCCCACGGGGGGCCAGTATGAAAAATGTATGCACTCACTAACTGTAAGTCGCTCTGGATAAGAGCGTCTGCTAAATGACTAAAATGTAAATGTAAATACTACACGTGAAGTAGCAATGTTGGCAAAGCCAGCCAGAATAATAAGGGACTGTTTGTCCATCCATGTTACATGCAGGTGAAACAGTCACATTTTACATGTATAGTAAAGAGTAGTAGTGAGGGGACAAGCAAGTGCATGCATGCTTAATCTAGTGAGTGGGTGTGTTTAATCTGAATGTGTGCTTATTATAGTAAGTAGGTGTGTGTGTGTGTTCTATCTACTATATCAGCAGATATAGTACCAACAGCCAGCCACCACTTCCATATCAAAGACAAAGAAAAGGATGGTGTCTCTCTGACTGTTACCAAGGAACATGTAGGGCATGTAACACCCTGAAGATGCCATTTTGTCTCTCTCAACAAGTCAAATGAGGTACAGGTTACCGAAAATAACCTGTTATATGCTGCACATACATATGCCGTCACAGACAACACAGACCCCATCACCTACAACACATACACGCAAACACATATACACCCACACACGCTCTCTCTATTCGCATGACCTACCCAGGAGCGGGGGAAAGGGAGGCAGTTTGGGCAGCCGTATGAGGCCCACCAGTTTGCCCCCGGTGACGGAGCAGATGAAGAGCACGGTGATGCCAAACAGGTTCCCCGTCGGCAGACACTCCTCCTCTGTGATGGACCAGACCACGCCAAACAGCACTAATGCAATGACGACTGGGAGGGAGGAGAGGTCAGAGGTTAGAAGTCAGTACATGGCCAGTTAGCAGTTTGTCTTTTACTTTTACCTGCCAAATAAAATACAAATTTGATCAAAAAAGATTGCATGTGCTGTACTAGATTTGGTTTGCAAGGTACAGTGGTCTCAAAAGTCTACTACTAAGCCTAAATGTTAACTTGTACATTTCAGTATATCAGGGACACTGGGTAGGGCTTTAGTCCATCTGTATATCTTCTCCATTTGTGCTATATAAATGCCTCTGGGTACAACTGTGGCACTGTTCAACAGCGTGCGCTGGATAAAGAGAAGCAATTCTAGAGTACCTTTGTTCCCTTTATTGAGACACACACACACACTGGTTCTACAAACTCAATCCTAACATATTACTCCACTCTCTCTCTCTCCCTCTCTCTCTCTCTCCATTTTCCACTCGCCCAAGCACAAAACGCTACAAGATGCCAATCCCTGATCCCATAGCAATGTCACCAAGGTAACATCACTACGGTAGCATTAGCCCCCCTGGTGCCCGGAATTAAATAAAACACAGACCACAATGGCATTATCAGCGCATTGTAGCATTATGAGGTTCATGACATTAGGCCACTCTAGTATTAGGCCTATATTGTATCTCTATTCTGGTGTCGATAGAAGTATAATTCAATTTCTATGGGCATCAGCATAGAGACACAATACTAGAGTGGCCTATTTCTATGCTGGTGCCCACCCTTGGTGATGAGGGAGGCCAGGAGGCCTCGGGGCGGGCAGGGGCATGCCCGGCGGAGCCTGCCACAGCAGATGACCGGGGGGTCAGTGTTGGTGCCCGCATCCACCACCGGGTTACGGGGGATAAAGTAGGTCTCCTCCGTGACCTGGGGGGTGGAGCTCCGTCTCACCACCACCTGAATCTGGTTCACACCCAGGAACTACCGGGGGGAAGACATAGAGGAAAGGGGTTTTAGTTCAATATGAAAATGTGTTAGTAGCCATACTTTTAAATGAAACTTTCTTACTACATAAATGCCATTTCAATACAAGCTTCTGAAAAAGTAACACACTATTAGATTTTTTTTTTGTTTTGTTTTTTTTGCGAAAGAGACACTTGACAAAGGGACACTTCGATGTTTTTGTACACTTGCTTTCAAAAAGCATCCTCTCGACTCCATCGTACTCTAACCCCAGTTAAAAGGTGCAATACGCAGAAATCGCTCCGCCATTTCCTGGTTGCTAAAGTTTGAATAATTCGCATAATTTCAGTTTATGTAACAAAACAAGCAATGTATAGTGTAGAGAATCATTGTACCATTTAAAACTGCTGTGAAATATATTTTTAATAACCAAAAATATATTGTATTTTCAGATGTTTGAAGCTAGTGTACAAAACCAAAAGTAAAAGAGGCAAAAACAAAACTTAACGGAAGCATAGAAATAGTGCACATAGAACAGATCTTGCTTTCAATGAGAATGACTGATCTATAACTCACATTTCTATGTGAATTTGGATGGGTCGCCCAAAAAGTTGCATATTGTAGCTTTAACTTCTTGAGTTGAAATGATAGCAATCTTTCAAGAGAGACTGATTGTGGTGTCAGGAACTTGTTTTGGCTAGCCTAGCCCAACACTTGAAGGTTGATAAGAATGGTACTGGAGCCAATGCCAATGCTCCTGGCTTTTTTACCTCCATTTCTTTGTCACACCTATGTTAAGTGGTTCTCATTGTTGACAGGGAAGTTAGTCATGCTAACAAGACACTACTGTGTTCCAACTTAGTAATAGTTCTCATTCTTATCATAAAGAGTAGATATGGACTTTTACTACAAAGAGTGTGCCACAATGAGAACAGTCAGTGTCATGAAAAAGGCTGTTGTTCCAACTTACAGAAATACCACTCTCTGTGGAAAAAGAGGCTGGCAAAAATCATGAGCAAATCTCCTGGTAGGGTACATCTCAAGGTATGTTTCAAATGACCTAACAAAACTAAATGTCAGCATGATGATTTTACATTTTTGTTTTCCCGTAAATAATTGACCCCATAAATGCATAGTGCCAAATAAGAGTGCACAGTACACTGCCAACTGATTCCAGATCAATATGTGTGGAATCATTCAACCAAAATGACTATTATGCCGAAGCCATTTCTCATAGCTTCAGCAACTCAGTACCATTAAATTATGTAAAGGCTATCTATTAGCATTTTGGCTAAACCACTAGATATACTATACCTCTGCATGGTTTGTTACTGGCGAGGCTCCGGGACTTTGTTCTAGGTCCAGCAAGGGAGAAGGTGAAGGTGTAGGCGGCTTCAACTTGGGCTGGTCGTCCTCCATCATGGCATCTAGTACAGTTCACTTTCTCCTCCTCACTTTTTCTCTAACCTCACAGCAAACCCGGTGGAGGGGTGGGGTTGGCCATCGGTGCACTGCTGCTCTGCTCTTCTCCTGTTGTATCCCAAGGTCTGACTCTGTCCAGCACTAGCTCCCATTCAGTGGGTCGTCACCTGTTTATCAGTCAAAGGCAGTGAGAGTGAGTGTTTGCTTGGTGGAACTGGCCAGAGAGGCATTTGAGGCAAACATGGCTGTAGAGATATGAGGTGAAAACCAACCAAGTGCAGAAGCAATCAAAGGTGAAGGTAAACAGTACTATAAAAGAGATTATAAAGAAAGACAGAGGTTTTCAATGTTCAGCATTCTGCTACCAGTATGGAATGAGACTGGGAGTAAGGGAATCAATGCATGAATGCAGAATCTCGTCATTAACTTCATATAGAAATCATACTATGTTATTAGCTACATTGTCACCACTCTCCTTCTCCTATGATAAAGCCATGAAATATAATGGCATTTCACTTACAGTAGTGTCCATTTTATCTGAGACAAGCTGAAGTTGGATTGCTTTCCATCCACAGTTTTTATGCGAGTAAAGTCATACTGTATAAAAAATAAATTGTGACAGCTGTGATGGAAATAGGAAGTGTTTATAAATGCCGACAGATCATTTGTTCGTTCAACATGGTCGAAATGGCGGATGGAAACGCCTTTATGCACAAATATTGATACAGTATAATAACCATCATCTCGAAGTAAACTTGGGAGTCGTGATGATATGGTGTGTGGTCCTCCCACTACAACTCGGGAAACCATGCAGTTTATTAGGCTACAGATGAAACAAGTTATGATGAACTTCACAGGGTGGTGACAGTGCACGGTGATGAGCTTCATGCTGCTTTCCAATAAATATCTAGGGTCTTATTCTGGTGACATGATGATCGGTGCTTGACTGCCGTTTGACAAATACTCACTCTTCAATAATAACTTCATCATGTAGACTAGCCTACCCGCGCGCAATATTTCCTTTCATAGGATAGCCAGAGCCAAAGTCATTATTATCCATCGGTGATTGGTTGAGCCTTATTTGAAGGCGTGACATCACTTCGAGCCCTGACCAAAACAATGGTGTACAATCTCTCTCCCATCGGATCTAAAACTTGGTAACAAGTGACAACCTTAAAACCAGTAGTAACGACCCAACTTCAATGACAGTTATCTTAAAATTAAAAAGACATATCTAATATTCCTGCACCCCAATAACATTGTCGCCGAGGAGGGCTTGTTAGCTAGCTACAGGGTTTGAGTCACCTCAGCCATTTTATTATAAAACAGCTCAGCTAACAACGCTAGCTAGCCTATGTCTAGACGGAGGAGCTCATGAGCATATACTAGACATGTCACATAGGCTTCAGGAGCCAGCTGGTTAGATATGATTCCACCATGGGCAACAACAACTGGCTACTAGTTAGTTTTCACCAAAATATCTTCAACTCATAACTAGTTTATCCAGTGACCACCGCATTTAGAAGGACAGCTACTGACTGAAATGTAGCATGCTGGCTCACACTGGCCAGGCAGAAGCCATCTCGCTAGCTATTTAACAGTTAGTTAATCGTGGACGTCAAACGAAGACGCTAGCTAGACTCCGAAACTCACGGGCTACAATAGCTAACTGGTTAGACATGATAACAACATGGGCAACAACTCATAGTTAGTTTAGCCACTTACAACTGCATTTAGGAGGCTAACTAAATTACTGAAATGTAGCTAGTTCACTGGCCAGGCAGTAGCCATTTCTAGCCAACTAATATATTTCCTATAGATGGGTTAAATCGCTAAGCTTTTCACATTAAACTACCATCTTTCCTGTAGTTTATTTTATTTTAGTGTTACCAACATAGTGATGCACACACTGAATGATGTGGCACAGACGGTGGTCACACACTACAAGATTCTTCACTTGGTTGTGAGGATTCTCGATACCACGCTGTCTTGTGAAAACAATGATGTGATTAGATTTAACGTACGAGCTGTGGCTCAAAGCAGCATCATAAACGTTCAGTCAGACATTCACGCTTGCCATAGAGTTGAACCATCTAGCCAACATTTTGAATTGAATAACATTGCTTGTGAACTTCAGATCTGTAACGATTTGCTTTGGTAAAGGCAAGTACAAACGCATACTTGTAGTAGTCATCGCTCCTGCACGAGATGCGTCATCATCTCACTGGCTTCTTCTCTGGCGAGCTCTCATTGGCTATTGCTGATCACCGTTCTCAAAACTTGTCGTTGCACATCTCACAGTACAAGAGCATTGCAGATTTTGTGCCGATAAAATCAAACATGTTTGAAAATATCAGGACGTCTGGGACTGCTCAAAGATGAGATCGGTAGCCCTCAGATTGCGTCTCTGACCCGCTCACATTAAATGAGCGTCGTAACGACATGGGGATTTTGTCTCTGATCTCCAAATCGTGTGGTCCACTCCTGGCTTCAGCTGACAACATCACGAAAATGATGCGCACGCTTCCTTGGGGCAGAAGTCAACCTGTTGTTGTGGTTCTGGATAGCAATAATTACCAGAAACTGCCATGTGGGGAATCACAAGTAGCTTGTTTCATCTTGTTATTGATACCATGTCTTGTTTTTAGGTGTTTTGACTGACTTCATGTCAATGCTAATATGGCTGAAATTCAAATAGCTAGCTAACCAACAACTTTAACGATGTATTTGAGAGACAAGTGCTCATTGTGCAAATGTATTTATTTTCAAAAAACATTGGAGATGAAATATAGCTTACATGTTGTCAACAATCTAAGCCAACCCTGTCTGTTTTGCCCAATAGTTGCGCACACCTCGGTTTTGTTGCAAAAACCAACAACCCATCTATTCTTTGATGAGTTTGTGGAAAGGTAAAAGCGCATCTGTGTAACATCACACACACAAGAAGGCTCAACCAATCACTACGCAACTCAAGAATATTGACTTCTCCTCCAGCTATCCTACAAAAGGAAATTTCGCTACCAGCACTGTATCTGCGAACGTTGGCTAGAGCGCATGTGCCAAGACCAGAGTGGGCACATTTGCTATTTAGGCCTAATGCAACAGTTTGTGACAAAACTATTGGTAGAGTTTAAAATGCGATGGAAACACATTGAACTTTAGATTTTTAATCGGTACATGAAGACTTAAGTGAAAAAGTATACTGAACAAAAATATACACGCAACATGCAACTATTTCAACGATTTTACTGAGTTACAGTTCATAAGTAAATAAGTCAATTGAAATAAATTAATTAGGCCCTAATCTATGGATTTCACATGACTGGGAATACAGATATGCATCTGTTGGTCACAGATACCTTTAAAAAAAGGGCGTGGATCAGAAAACCAGTCAGTATCTGGTATGACCACCATTTGCCTCATGCAGCGCGACACATCTCCTTCGCATAAAGCTGATCAGGCTGTTCACTGTGGCCTGTGGAATATTGTCCCACTCCTTTTCAATGGCTGTGTAAAGTTGCTGGATATTGGCGGGAATTGGAACACGCTGTCGTACAAATCGATGCAGAGCATCCCAAACATGCTCAATGGGTGACATGTCTGGTGAGTATGCAGGCCATGGAAGAACTGGGACATTTTCAGCTTCCAGGAATTGTGTACAAATCCTTGCGACATGGGGCCGTGCATTATCATGCTGAAACATGAGGTGATGGCGGCAGAGGAATGGCACAACAATGGGCCTCAGGATCTCATCACGGTATCTCTGTGCATTCAAATTGCCATCGATAAAATGCAATTGTGTTTGTTGTCCGTAGCTTATGCCTGCCCACACGGAGCACTCTGTTTACAACGTTAACATCAGCAACCCACTCGCCCACACGACCCCATACACGTCTGCGGTTGTGAGGCCAGTTTGACGTACTGCCAAATTGTCTAAAACAACGTTGGAGGCAGCTTACGGTAGAGAAATTAACATTTAATTACATTTAGTCATTTAGCAGACGCTCTTATCCAGAGCAACTTACAGTTAGTGAAAACATTTTTTTTTTATACAGGCCCCCCCATGGGAATCGAACCCACAACCCTGGCGTTGCAAACGCCATGCTCTATCAACTGAGATCTTTTATTTCAACTCATGAAACAAGGGACCAACACTTTACATGTTGTGTTTATATTTTTGTTCAGATTCTATAACGTTAGCTTATGTGAGTTACTTTGCCTGACCTCACTGAGTACGGTTACATGCACACAATAATATGATTATTGTGGATCGTCAGATTAATATAATGGTTTGTTTAAAACGTTTACATGCTTTGCAAGAAGAATGACTTCCCTAATAATAATTTTACATGGACACATTTGATGGGACTGAAATAAATGCAGAAAATCGCAAATCAAAATAAACGTTCTACCAAAGCGATCATGTTATTTTTGCGAAGTCTATTTGATTTCGGACATATAAAATGCGTTATGTGACAAAACATTTAAATGCATACTTTCAGATTTTCCTAACTCACTTCACTCTCCCAAACAAGCTGAGATTTGCGCTTGTACATTTACATGAACATTAATAATTAGATATTCAACAGATTATGGCATTAGTCATGTAAACACCTTACTTTACTTATCTTAAATCGGCGTAACGTCAAAATCGAAGTAAGCATACATCGATTAAATCACCGGGTTTTCTGAGCTAACTTTGGAATGATTAGGACATGTAAATAACTTCATCGGTGTTCCAGCACTGTATTTGATCTGTGCATGTGCCAGCACCGGTAGCTCAAGTGTCCCTCTTACGTGCTACCCAGACCGCGCATGCGTCCGTGTGCACCACCACGCACAAGTTGATTTTGTCCACCCACACCAGACGTGATCAGGACACGCAGGTTGAAATATCAAAACAAACTCTGAACCAATTATATTAATTTGGGGACAGGTCGAAAAGCATAAAAAACATTTATGGCAATTTAGCTAGCTAGCTTGCTGTTGCTAGCTAA